ACATTGTTACATGCCATCAACCTAGGTACATGTTTTGCATTTTTCCTGTAGCAAATACGTGCATGAGTAGTTAATACGTTGCCATTCAATCCAACTGTATTATAGAGAATCGTTTTCTTCTTATATGAATAAGAGAATATTTGCAACTAGCTACTGGAAATTATTGTTAGTAAGATACTAGATTATACAACCTATGCTATTACTGAGAGTGTAAATGATTTTTAAAAATGCAGGTGAAAAGTATGCGAAGAGAGATGATGTACTGGTCTCATAGAACCGTAGGACTTGGTACGCACTTCAGTGTTACCCAGTCCAGGCCCTGCTTTTGGCAAAGGCTAAGCTGTGATCGTGACGTTCTGAAGGCCTTAGACGGTCAGCTAGTAGCCAACTGGAGGTAGAAACTGACTTTGAATGAGGTCGCTGTGTCCCTTGAGCAGTCTTCTTTCCAACTGTGACTCTCAGAGGAGCCTGCTGTTAACACTGCCATAGAATTGAGATAAGAGAGGAGTATGTCAGCTATTTTAGTAAACTCACTATTTCCTCCTTTTAGAAATACTTTATAATTGTTGATTTTGTGTATTTCATAAACTATCTTTTTAGTTTCTACCTGACCAATCAAACCACTGCTTTAGTAATTGCTTTATATTCAAAAGATTTGGTATATGCAAACTATTGTTTTTTTTAAATTTCATGATAACACAGAAAAAGGAAATGATTGATACAAGGGGAGATAAGTAAGGAAGTGTTTTGATAGCTGTGAGGGTGGATTTTTAGATGTAGGCAGTGCGACCTGGGGGCTAAGAAGGGAAGCTCCGAGCTCACACCTCGGTCCGCTGCTGCCTCGCTGTGTGTCCAGAGCAAGTTCTCCTCTCTGGCCCTCAGTTTACTCGTCTATAGAATAGGCATAAAAATTGTGCACACCTGGGGCCAGCCCAGTGGCGCAGCAGTTAAGTTCTGGTGCTCCACTTCATCGGCCCGGGGTTCGCAGGTTCGGATCCCAGACGCAGACCTAGCACTGCTCATTAAGCCGTGCTGTGGGGGCATCCCACATAAAGGAGAGGAAGATTGGCACAGATGTCACCTCAGTGACAATCCTCACACACACATACACAAAATGGTACATACCTCATAATAGCATTGTTGTCAAATAAAGAGTTAGTGTGTGTACTGAGAGACTGTCACACATTAGATGCCATTTAGTTAAAATGTTTTGCAAGTGGTTCACTCAAATTATAGAAAATATAAGGAAACCAAACATCTGAAGGGCTCTCATGTCAAAGAAGCATAGGGAAGTCTTGGGGGTTCTAGGAATGATGAATACAAGTTAGGGTAGGCAGGTGTTGTTCCAAAGTTGCTCATGGAAGAAATAAGGCTTCTTTGGGAGTTGTGGATATCTAATCACTTGATGGTATTCAAGCAGATCTGGATATGAAATTTTTATAAGTATTCCTTTTTTATAGCGAATTTTTTTAATTAATACTAAACCATTGGGAAGGACAGTCTGTCATGGGCTCTGAGCACCCTCCACATTCTTACTCAGTTTGTCAGACTGCACGGCATAATTAGTTAGTCATGCAGGTGACTAAGTCACTCAAGGAGACCGCAGCACTCGGTCCCAAAGCGGGGGCACAGGCTTATCTGCTACTTAGTATAATGTTTACTGGTTGCTCAAAAAGTAACTTGACTTTTGGCCAGGTTTCTCTTCTACAACACAACACACTGCATGTGTAGGCATCTATCTAGGTCCACCTGTGTTGTCCCTCAGACATCCCCACGGGACAGGGGCCAAGGATAACCAGTGCAAACAGGAAGCTCTGGATGCTGTGATTGCCAAGAATAAGTCTTTTGTCTCTGATCCAGGAATTTCTTGTCTTCTGTACCTATTCACAAAATAGTAACAACTAACTAAGCTTGTAGAGTAAAATCCCAGAAAATTCAAAGTTCTGGACACATATAAATAACAACAGCTAATTTTATTGCCGGGTTATTGCTGTAGTCATTGGGCTAAGCCCTTTATGTGCACTATGTTAGCAATCCCTCCCTACGGACCTTTTTTACAGGTTGGCTTTACAGAAGGTTATATGCTTGCCCAAAGTGGCAGAACCATGCATCCAACTTTGCAGTTTTTCTGACTCAAAAAGTTATGCTTGTTACAGCTATAGTAGTCCATGCTGCCTCTTTTTAATATACGTTGCCCTGCCCCCTTGTCTACTTGGAAATGTCTTCATTGACTAAAACACTGTAAAACATCATCATTCAGGGTTCAAAGGAAGTGAAACTTGTTCTTTAGCTATTCCTGCTTTTCCCTCAGTTCTGGCCCAAAGCAGCCCCTTCACTAGTCTCTCTTTCTTCATGCTTTCCTAGACCGTTGTACAGTAGGAAGACAGCATAGAGATGGGCTGCAAAACAATGCAACATTGTGAATCCTAAAAGAAGCACTTCAAATTACTCTCTTTCTCCCCTATCAAGGTTAATCTACAAAATCATTTGTATTTCTATATACTAACAATCAGCAACTGGAAATTGAAGTAAAAAATACATTTATAATGACATAAAAATATGGAATGCATCAGAATAAATCTAACAAATTATTTGCAAGACTTTAATGCTGAAAACTACAAAATAGAGAAATTGATGAAGGTCGAAATAAATGGGAAAACATACTGTTCTTATGGATAACAAAATTCCATGCTGTTAATGTGCAAATTCTCCCCCAATTGATTTATCAGTTGAGCACAATGCTAATCAAAATCCCAACAGGCATGTTTATAAAAATTGATGAATAGATTGTAAGATTTATATGAAAGTGTTAATGACCTTGAGTAGAGAAAACAAAATTGGATGGCTCATATTATCTGATTTCAAGCCTTACTGTGAAGGTACATTAATCAAGACCATGAAATATTGGTATAAGGATAGACACTTATATCAGTGGAACACAATGGGGTGTCCCAAAATAGACCCACATGTATATGGTCAATTGATTTTTAACAGAAGTGTCCAAATAATTGGATGGAGAAAGATGTTCTTTTCAAAAGTGATGCTGGAACATTTGGACAGTCATATGAAAAAATGGTGAACCTTGACTCATATATAGCACCATATACAAAAAGCCACTCACAATGAATCACAGACTTAAATGAAAAGCATAAAACTGTAAAATTTCTGGAATGAAACCTGGGAGAAAACTTTTTTGACCTTGGGTTAAGAAAAGAATTCTTAGATAAGTCAAGAAGCACAAACTATAGGAGAAAAAAATGTTCTTTGAAACACACTGTTAGGAAAATATAAAGACAAGGCAGACTGGGAGAAATATTTGCTACATGTGTGTCTCATAAAGCACTTGAATCCAGAATATATAAACCCAATAATCTGACACCAAAGAACCCAATAAAAAATAGTCCAAAAATTTGAACTCATGCTTTACCAGAGAAGAGAGCTTCTTATGTCAAATAAGCCATCAAAATGCAGATTAAAACCACAGGGGGAAGCCATTAACACACTTAATAGAACTAGGATTAAAAAAAGAAGACAAGTACTGGCGAGGGTGTGAAACTGCAACTCTAAGTTATCCTTAGGGGAGCACCAACTGGGGCAGCCACTGTGGAAACAGTTTGCTATCTCCAAGGTATTTAACCAACGTAATGAAAGCGTATGTTTCCACAAACACCTGTCCACAAATGTGTCTAGAAGCTCCACTCACAGCTGACAAAAACCGGACAAACCTATATGGTGAATGGATAGGCAAAGTGTAGTCCATCCTTCGATAGAATGCCACTCAGCAATGAACACCAACTATTGATGTAGGAAGCAGCGTGGATGAATCTCAGAAACATTAAGTCACTGAAGCCAGACACAAAAAACTACGGGTTGTGTGATCCCTTTCATATGACACTGTAGAAAAGGCAAACAATAGTGAAAGAAACAGTCATCAGGGCTTCCAAGGGTCTGGAGGCTACGGCAGATAATTAACTCCAAAGGATGGGCACAAAGAGACACTTGGGAGTGATAAAATTCTATATATTGCTGGTTATGTGGGTTATGCAAACATATATATATTTAACTAACTATATATAACTGTACATATATTTAACTAACTATATATAACTGTATATGTATTTGACAAAACTCATTGAATTTTACTGTATATAAGTAGTACCTCAATAAACCTGAATTTTTTTAAATCCAAAAAGTGCATTACCTTTAATTAGAATCACAACTACTATGTTAGAATACATGAAATAATTACGTTTATATATATTGCACTTGATTAAATATGTATGTATTTCTGCTTGCATGGTAACATTGAGGGAAATAAGTTTTTAAGTCTTACTATAATAAAGTGTTACAGTGCAAATTACGCATTTAGATTGTGTTTATTTTTTTATGACCATTACAAAATAATGGCTTTTCTTGGCAATGATGTCTACAGAAGAACTAAAAAAGAAAAGTAGCTTTTAATTTATTTTTTTTTGCCTAGCTTGAGTTATAAGTAAGTGATAAAACTTATTCTCTTTGTAATATTACAATCCTTAAATATGTCATTCCTTTAATTACCCTATTATTATTTTATTACAAACTCTAAATATTGCCCATGATTCTATAATATATTTTAAATCCTATATGAACAATATTTTAATTAATTGTATAATTTTGCCTTCTCTTGGTTGCAATTGATTTTCACATTTAAATATCTTGCTTTTTTCAGTTGTATGTTTCAACGTTAGCATTTAAATTGCTTATTGATTTGTCTATTACTGTCGTATATACCTTCATAAGCATTTTTTTCTGAGGTTGAAATGAATGTATTTTTCTTTTAAAGGTGAAATTGAAATTTGGAGCTAATAGAAAAGTTTACAGATTTTTTTTCCCTGCAGTGTTGAGAAACTTTCTTATCTGAATAAAATACTTTCTATACCCTGCTGTCCTGTCGTGGGAACTTTTGATTGATACGGCAATGTTAGAAGACGACTAATTATAGCATTGGTTATTTCCTGTAGCGGTCCACTGGCGTTGCCAATTGCCAAGCAAGACAGTTTGTTGGAAAAAGATATTATGTTCAAAGATGCAACAAAAGGTCTGTGCAAGAGACAATCTCAGGACAACACCCCTGAAAGCACCACCATGATTGGCCCCACCAAACTTGAGCAGGTAATTACACCCTTACTGCTTGCGTGCTGGTATTGCTTTCTATTACATCATGCATTACAATCTAACCTTTCATAAACAAGCACCCACTAATTTCCATTCAAAGATAAATGAATGAATGCAAAGGTTAATATTTTGTTTATAATTCCCATATATACATTATTTACATACCAGGAATGTAAGCTCAGCCAATATGTTAATTCTTGAATATTTCCGGTTACATCATTAGTCATCATTTTGATTATTATGTAGGCTGTTTTTTGTTTCCTTCAGATATCAAAATACTTCACATAACAATAAGAAAGACAAACCAGTCACCAAGACTCATTTATCCTTAAAAGTTACTGTGGTGGCGTCATCGTGTGTGTGTGTTTGTGTGTGTATGTGCACCCCAGTGCCCAAGTTATGAGACATCACATTGATGAGCTTGGGGTTATAGAAATTAATGGATTTTCTGTTATCTTTTTTTTTTTTTTTTTTAAAGATTTTATTTTTTCCTTTTTCTCCCCAAAGCCCCCCCGGTGCATAGTTGTGCATTCTTCGTTGTGGGTTCCTCTAGTTGTGGCATGTGGGACGCTGCCTCAGCGTGGTCTGATGAGCAGTGCCATGTCCGCGCCCAGGATTCGAACCGACGAAACACTGGGCCGCCTGCAGCAGAGTGCGCGAACTTAACCGCTCGGCCACGGGGCCAGCCCGATTTTCTGTTATCTTTCTCACAGAAATAAATGATTTTTATATGTTTCATGTTTTATAAATGGCAGAATAATTTTATAAATATCAGAGTAATCCTTGGAAATATTTTGTTTCACTGTATCTAATTTTGAATAGTTTAAATACGATTTAGTTAGTTTTCTAAAAACCCTCTTTTAAAAGTTTAATTTTTATTTTAAAATAACTAATAAATAATTTTTGTAATTTTGAAATATTTCTAAATTTTATTAGGTATATTCATCAGCTCGGCTGCCATAACAAAATACTGCAAACTGGGGGGCTTAAATAATAGAAATTTATTTCTCACAGTTCTGGAGACTGGAAGTCCAAGATCAAGGTGCTGGATGATATGGTTTCTGGTGAAGGCTCTTTCCTGGCTTATAGATGGCTGCTTTCTCACTGTGTCTTCACAGGGTGGAAAGAGATAGAGCAAAAAGAGATAGTCTCATAAGGACACCAGTCCTGTGGAATCGAGGCCCCACCCTTATGATCTCATTTAACCTTCGTTACCTCCTAAGGGCCCTGTCTCCAGATGCAGTCACATTAGTTAAAGCCTGAACGTTATGAATTTAGGGGGACACAATTCAGTCTATAGCAGTAGGCAAATTGAATGTTGGGTAAAATTTAGGGCAAAGTTTAAGGGTCTTATGAACCTTCTATAACCTTAAATGCATATTACTCAGTGAAAGAAGCCTATCTGAAATGGCTCCATACAGTATGACCAGCTATGTGACATTCTGGAAAAGGCAAAACTATGGAGACAGTAAAAATGTCAGTGGTTGCCAAGTGGTTGGTGGTGGAAAGCATGAATAGGTGGAGCATAGAGGATTTTTAGGGCAGTGAAACTACTCTGTATGATATTATAATGATGGATACATGTCATTATACATTTGTCCAAACCCATAGAATGTGCAACACCAAGAGTGAACCCTCATGTAAACTGTGGACTCTGGGTGATTATGATGTGTCAATGCAGGTTCATCGATTGTAACAAATGTACCACTCTGATGGGAGATGCTGACAATGGGGGAGGCTGTGCTTCTGTAGGACCAGGGGTGTATGGGAAAGCTCTGTACCTTCCTCTCAATTTTGCTGTGAATCTAAAACTGCTCTAAGAAAATAATACCTTAAAAAAGGTGAGAGAACATTCACAACATAATTTCAAGTGTAATCCTTATAGAATGACTGTTCTGTTTTTAATTTAAGTTCTTTATAAATTGTATCCTAGACGTTGAAAGCACTTAGAATCATGTTCTATTTCTTTGGTCTTAGAGAGGGAACAGCTATTATTCAGGTTTTATGTTCATATATTATGTATATAGTGTTCGGTTATTGTCTATATCCTGCTCACCCGTATCTCCCACTGTAGGCACCACACTATCCTGCGTTCTTGGCTGTGAGCTGCATAGGTGATTCTCCCAGAGGAGGACTAGCACCGTCCACGGACCGGATTATACATTCGAGTTTCATAGGAGGGCTTTAGAAAAGGCTTGTCAAAGCAATAAAGTTCTGATTGACATTTTAAAGAGAAATCCATAACGTGGAACATTTTTTAAAAATTGAAACAAAAAGCACAGCATCTCCCCTCTCAGATTTTTGTGAAATATAGGTCTCATCAAATGGTAACTGTTTAAATGAATATTCAAGGCTCGATTTAAACTTTTTTTGGTTCTGATAATCATGAAAATTAACATTCGCTTTTATAACACCTCTGAAAATGTAGAATTTTTCCTAAGTTTATGAGAAATATGCCAGACATTCTTCCTTCTCTCCCCTTGTGTCCTCTTTTCCCTCCGCTTCCTCCACTCCCTGCCCTGGCCTCTTCTTCCAGTCTCTAACTAGTTTCCTCCCTTCTTAACTACTTCCCTCTCCCTTCTTCTCTCTTTTCTCTCCTTTCAGAATATATTTGTTTAAATTTAGTTCAAGCTTGCAATTCAGGTCAACTTTTTATTCCATTTGGTGAAGGCATGTTAGCCTGGGAATAAAGAGAAAGAATGATGCAGTCATAAAGATTCGCTCTGGTTCAGGTCAGCTGCAGGAGCTCTATGACTCTGGACATTCCTTAACCTCACTAAGCCCCATCTGTGAAATGGGCACATATTACTGACCTCATGTGTTTGTTATGAGGATGACAAAAGGGGCTGGCCTGGTGCCGCAGCGGTTAAGTTCGTACGTTCCGCTTTGGCGGCTGAAGGTTCGCCAGTTCAGATCCTAGATACGGACCTACGCACTGCTTGTCAAACCATGCTGTGGCAGGCGTCCCACATATAAAGTAGAGGAAGATGGGCATGGATATTAGCTCAGGGCCAATCTTCCTCAAAAAAAAAAAAAAAAGATGACAGATTAAGGCTATGAACTGATGGTATAATTACCAAGAACAGAATAAAAACTCAATAAGATATATCTAATAATTTTATTGTTATTATTTATATGGACTGACTGTATATTAGATTTTCCTAAAGGGGTCAAGTCCTCTTTTCACTAAATTTATCTCTTCCTAAGTCAAGTAATTCTAGTCAACACTTACCCAGGTTTATTTTTTTCATCAGTGAAAATATAGATTATTTTAGAAGATAATACAAAATAGTACTGTATATTGGTTAACATTTCAAAGCTTAAAAATGCTTCATCTGCATTATCTGATCCTCAAAATACCACTGTAAGCAAGTTATTATCCACTTTCAGTACCTAACTTACACTCAAGTTTCAAGTTGAGTTTTAAACTGACCAAACTTAAACTCAGGGAAAGTTAAGCAAATTGCTTAGAATCACAAGTGTCTCTTCTCCTCTGTATCCAGTGCTTTTCGGGACACCACAGTGAGCTCCTGGTTCATTTTCAAGAGCCCTGATGACTTGTGACAGTTCTAGAAATAGGAGGGAAAGTTGGCATTCCATAGCTGCATGTGTAAGATAGGGGTTTTGGAGACGGGCAAGAATTCTCCTCCTGTGGTCCACAGATATGCCAACATCCACGTCCACAAAAACTTCGATCCTCAGCTGAAAAAGGAAGAGTGAGGGAACGCACTCAATAAATTTCACTATCTCAGAAACATCTGACAGAATAAAAAAAGCAGAGAAAAACATTGAAACTGCTACCCTGCCGTGGTGATAGGCTCAAACTTGGGAAAGCTTAGTAAAGTGGCAGATTATCACCCCTTTGTTTGCGATGACCATCCCAGTAACGTCTAGTGTTTTTTCTAGTTCCCTCTTACTCAGTTCTTTCCTCCATAACTGCCTTTCCCCAAGATGTTGTTGCTCTTATTCTGTTTGTCAGACCATGTCGTTTGCTCACTAAACTTTCAGTCCTTGGACGTATATCACTAATCCCCCAGGGAGAAACACCACAAACAGACAAAACGACACAGTAAAGCAAACAGCACTCAAAGCAGTGCCGAAAAGTAGAGACAAGGAATCAGAGGATTCAGAATATTTCCAAAACTTAAATTCCCTTTGGACTGTGAAACATTTCTCAAAGTATTTCTCCTAAGTTCTTCCTGACTTTCTATCCTGAATTATGTCTGTTTTGTGTTCTAGAGATCTCCTTTTAGAAATACATATAGATATGTATGGATATTTATATATCTTCATAAGAACCATAATGGCCAATCCTAGAGAGGATGTTAATGTTTTTTACATCTTTATCCCATCTCTGTTCTAACTATTTTTCTAACTGCTTGATAGACATTGGTAGTATACACTATCGAGCCAACAATTATAGCATAAAAATATTCACAGACATGTTTTCTTATTTTTTTCCTACTTGTTATCAGCTGTCACAATGTTTTGAAATCTGTATAAAGAATGTGTGCCTTGAATAACCTTGCTTAGGATCAATTATCAAAGCTTTCCTCCTGATCATTTTGGAATCTTGGTGATAAATGCAAAGAATTCTTGCTTTTGTCTACTCGAACACTGTATTTGTCATGTTTCATTCCCACAAACAGGCTAGGGAGTTTTCACATTTTTACTGTCAGCCTAGTATTTTTTCTAACCCATGTGACAGCTGTGCCACTGTAGATGAAAATCCTCAGGAATACTGAGGAGATGTCTGCAGTGGCTCCTTCAGCTTCTTGGAGCAAATGCAGGACTTCTGTTAGTGCAGTTCATGCCTTTCCTAACTATGTACACAGAAACTTGCTTTGAGCTCCTTAGAGTTGTGGTTATAAGAAGAATACTATCTTAGTGAAAATCATTGCTTCTGAAGAAAAAAATTTTGCTCTTTATTTTTCTCCTTTTTCTGATTGCTTTGGGAGTTAAATATGTATGCTAAGTTGCTGGACACTTCTGTCTTATATTTGCATTATTCAAAGTTATTGCAATCATATTGATTGATATCATATATTGTATATTCATGAATAGGTATATACATGTATTAATCTTTGTGTATATATATGTATATACACATACATACATACATATTAGTTTTCTGGGGTGCATATCTGAGTGTATGTGTAATTAGAAGTTTGTGTACTTTCAGGAAATGCTTGCAAAGACGTTAGAAAGAAAATATATTTGTATCCATCCCTAAATTGATAATGAAAGTTCCCTTTTATGCATCTCTATGAAAACTTTTGCCAGTAGTCTTTTCATTTCTGGAAAACACAGATTAACCCACTTGCACTTACCTTCTAAATATTTTATATCTAAAGGCAAACATACAAGTGTGATCCTGGAATATAGGAAAATTGTCCATCATTATAAGTAAACCTTCGATTTTGTCCAAATCAGTCCTAAGTGATCAATCAAACGTAATTCAGTAGCCACAGTTGAATCTGGTGGCCCCTCTTTGTCTTAAGTAAATCTGCGGCCAATCCACCCCTTCTCTTCCCAGTCCCCGATGGGCCGCCAGCACTTGGAGCTCGTCAGCTGGTCTCAGCACTTCGACCTTTCGCTCCACAAGCTGCAGGGCACCATGTTCTCAGTGTGAGGCGGCTCCTGTCAGCCCTTGGCTTCAGCCCTTCGCTGACTTTCCACGCTCCTTGGAATTCGGCAGAGCCTCGTGTGGCCGGCAAGCTTCACCTGCTCCTCCCCCACCATCTGCTGCCGTTTCCTCCACCCGCCGGCCTCGGGAGCCGACATCCACTGCCTCCCCACACCCACCTCCTTCTGACCTTGGGGCCTGTACCATCTGCTCCCACATCCCAAAGGGTGGCCTTTTAAAATTATTTCCAATGTCGGCTTTAGTATGACTCCCTCAAGGAGGACTTAGACCATCCCATCAAAAGTTCAAGTTTTCTCGTTTCGGAGCATCCTGGTTTTGCCCGCGTGGCACTTTTTGTAACTGTAATGTCTTCTTTATGTCCTTACTTCTCCCTCAGTAGACTGTAAACACTCTGAGGTAAAATACCACATCTTTTTTCCCTCTTTGTACTAAACCACTAGCATAATGCTGGTATAGGGTAGGTGAGCAAGAAGGAAAGGCAAATTATTGAACATATGTTATCAGGTTTATTCATTATCTGTTAGAATTTCTCCACTGTTACCTAATGGTTATTTTCCCCGCTTCCACTTCTGACTTATTAGCTGTGTGATCCCTGGGAAATCACCTGGCCTCTCTGGTCCTCAAGTTCTGAATCTACTAATTAAGGATGTTGGACTATATCAATGAATTTAAACTTTTAAAAATTATTATGTAGCAGCAGATCGCTCCCCCAAAAGAAATAGAGGAAAGAGAACTCCAATTCCTAAAGCAGATGGAAGATGAGCATCTTTGCTGAGGGCAGCAGAGACAGGCCCAGAGCCCTCTACAGCTGTCCACTTCCTCCCTCCTCCAAAGGCAACCTCAGGGAGCTGCCAGAGACTTTGCCATTGGTGTCCACGGCCCTTTCTAGGTTTTTGACTAACTGCGTAACAATGCACCCTGTTACTGCACACTCATCCGCAGGGCACGCACCGTGCCAGGCCCTCCACGGGAGTTTAATTCTCACACCCCTCTATGAAGACATACTCTTATTTACCCTATTTTGTAAGAGAACTGAAATTGACTTAAGTTAAGAAAGAAAAACGTTCAAGGTCTCAGAGAGAAAGAGATACCACTGGATCTAAACACTGTTCACCCAAGTGAATACAAGTAACTGATGTCTTAGATTTAGATAAGTTTGAATTTCCCCTTATTCAGAGAGGGGAAGCTCAAATCACTGTGAAAGATTTTTACCCGAGTTAGCATGACTGATGCAAAACGCAGAATGAGAAACTTCCTGGTCAAGAAGCCTGCAGGGAGCTTCAGCGAGGGGCTGGGCGGTCCTCACTGACAGTGGTCAGCCTCTCAGCACTCGGGGCCTATGAGACTCTACAAGGTGGAACCAAGTGTATAACATTAAAAAACTGACATAGCATAATCCCCAAACTGATTTTGACAACCCAGAAAATATTAGGAGAGCTGGAACATTATGACTTCTATTTTTATCAGCAACAAGTTCTAGTTTTTGGATACCACTCTTAAATTATTTAGGTGAATGTTTCTGACAGTATCAAAGCTGTAAAGCTATGCCTCTAACCCAAAGTTAAATGACTGATTTTAATCAAACTATGTTATATGTTCTTTGTATATTAATTCTGAAATTTATTTTGAAACGTTTCTTTTAAATGCTGCAAAAACAGAAAATAATAAACTCAAGGTGTTGGCTGAATGTGTGCATGTTGGGTGGAGGGAAGAGGCTTGTTCTTGACGTTTCTGAGGTCTGGAGTATTTTACAAATTATTTTTTTAATAAATAAATGTGTTGCTATTGGAATAGTGTGTTTCCCACTTATACAAATGGTTGCGTATCCAATGCCAGAGAGCCCACTGCCATTACAGCTGTCCAACTGGAAGACGTAACAGACCCCTTCTGACTGTTTGAGATTCTCAGTAAAGAATTTGAGTTTCTATTATCAATGCATTAGGATTAGAAACAGTCTGGGAAAACAATGACCTGAATTTATGAACTCATGAGAAAGATTACATTTTGTGAACTATTTACTAATGTCAGAGAAATAGTCTTAAATTTACTTGTTTTAGAAATGTGTTAATATTTTTCACTCCATAAACATTTAGCTGGCAAACAGTAATATTTAAGTTCAAATTATTTAGCAATGGAACATACAATAATACAATATATAATGCAAATACAAATATAAAAGGGAAATACAAATATAGGATACAGTCACAAATGCAAATAATACACATTAACTTACTGTTACTGAAAATGCTTTATGGGCATCTGGACTCACAGAAACATTGATAAGAATATTCTTGTTCTTTTGCTCCTCTGTGTTTGACATGAGAAAACCAAAGCTGTCCTGGTTTATTAAATATCTACTTTTCAGAGTATATCTTACGTATATTGCATTAAACAATGCCCATTTCTAACTTGTAAATGATAGATTGATGGGTTTTTTTGTTTTAAACGTTGCCCAGTTTTTAGCCTGTGTCACTCTATGTTAAATTGAATAGGAAAGCATTTTTTCTTTATGACAGAGTTATCTTAATCTCACAGCTACTTTAATCTTAAGAGTAATGTAGAGCAGAATAATAATCACAACCCAAAATTCTAGTGTCTACTCTTAAAATGCAGCCTCCTCCTCCATGTGTGCAGAAACTGAATTCCAGGCAGACTGCTTGCCTGCCGTGCGAACAACAGGAACGTGAGAACAGGAGAAGTTTGCTTTAGCTTGGGGAACACTGCAAATACATGAGATTTTCAGCTGCCTGTCTCCCGGAGGCCTCAGTTCAGTTCAGAGCTGTCTAAATTATAAGTAGGGACTTGCAAGAGTCAACATGCTGAAATAATTTTGACAGACTTATTGACTTTGAGAGAGGTAAGGCGACATTCAGGCTGTGTCTGTGTAAGTGCATGTGTGAGTGTGCGTGCACGCTTCTGGGTATAGAACAGAAATTCTCCTCTGAATATGTTTCTCTGGGGCAGTTGAATTTTTTGTTCCTTCGACATGAACCATTTCATCTTATAATAACCGTTTCGAACTCAGATGGTCTTTAAACTTTGACATGTAATTGAAAATGGAATATCCAACTGTGAAGAAAGTTGATTGGAAAGCAATTAGAATTGATCTTATGTATTTTTTCCCAGGTCAAGCTAATGCCTCCCGCTCCAAATGATGACCTAGCAACGCTCAGTGAGCTCAACGATGGCAGCCTGCTTTATGAAATTCAGAAGCGCTTTGGGAACAATCAGATATACGTAAGTGCCCTTGAAATTGCCTTTGGCGCTGCTTTTGTCTTGTTGCGTATTTTCACCCTCCAGTCGTGCTGATATTACAGGTAAAGGGCTATTGTTGCTTCTGCTCACGCTGATGGCTTAAGGTGGATTTCTCAGAGTTCAGGTTCATTGTTCTGGTCCAGTTATAAGGCAAATTCAGCAAAGATCCACATTTCAAAGTTGTTAAGTCAAAGTTAATACTTTGGGGGTAGACAGCTTTCCTGTTGCCATGATTGTGGTGGAAGATCTTGCTGGATCCAGCGGGATCCACTTATAAATCACTTATAAAAATGCTGTTTGTTTCATCTACTTTAGCTTAGCCTGTTAGATCTGGAAAAGGAAGCTAAAGAGGAAAAATTGACTACGCATGGACTGCCTCTCTATTTGCGTGAATAGGAAACTATTGTTCCTCTAAATTTTCAAGAAATATCTTTGTAAAGTAAATGATTTACACACATCTCTGATAATAGGATACAAATATATGACAGATGACAAACAGCATGGAGAATCGATTTGTTGTGGTTCTATCCTGGTTTATATGTGTTATTTCTTCCAATACTCATAGCAATTTAGACATCCTATAATCTCAATCTCTCTCTCTCTCTCCCCCTGTCTGTCTCTCTCTCTGTCTCCCCCTCTCTGTCTCTGTCTCTGTTGCTCTCTCTCACTGATTTTGTTATAGTCAACTCTGAGCAATTCAATCAGAACGTCTGTAGAGAAATCTGATTATGCACGTCTGCTATCCCTTTTTGATAACGTTTTTTTCCCTAGTCTACTGAGAAGGTGATTAAGTAATTTCCACGTCAATGTGAAATCTGAGATTTCCTTACAAGTAATAAATTGTCAGGTGCTGATTAGCCTATGAAAATTCAATGCAACATCTTAATACTTGGATAAATTGCCTGCCACTATAAATACACTTAAAATTAAATAGTTCTATCAAAATTAATGGAATTGAGTCATGGACATAAAGTGGGGATCCCTGATTACCTGGGTCTCTGTTACCACCCTGTTACTTGTGTACTGTTTTTATTCCGCTCTCTGGCCTTTCCCAGCACTGTGTTGATTCTTCTTTTTAACTTCTTAATTATATTATCAGAATACGACTGCTTGAATATTTTTGAATCCCTTTATTTCCTTCATGCTTTTTAAATGACTTTGTCTCCCAAATATCCGTTTAATCTACCTCTCTTCATCTCTCTGGCCACCATCCTCATCAAAGCCAGCATCATCCCTTCTCCAACAGCCTTCTCACTTTCTAGAGGAAACTTCATTCCCTTTCAATCTGATCTCACACTGAACTAGAGTAATTTTTGTAAAGAACAAATGTAATCTTGAAACTCCCGGTCTTAAAACTTTCCTACACCTTCTCATTTTTCATGAGTTGACCACAATTCTTATTCACCATCTGGCCCCAAACTCTATCCGTGACTCTTAGCCGCTGATCATGCCCTCCTTCCTGCGTCAGGGACTTCCTTGGACTGTTTTCCTTTCTCCTAAAGTTCTCTTTCTACCCCCATGAAATACTTAGTTTTATAAATTCCCACTCAAAAGTTCTTCAGTCCTTAAATAAACCTTCCCAGACCTTCCAGGTTAAGTCACTTTGGACAGTCTTTCCCATCGCTTGTGATTGTGTGCCTCATTGATGATTTGATTAATGTCTGGCTCCGGAGCTAGACTCTGAGCTCAGAGAGAATAGCAGCCGTGCTGGTTTTGCTCACCACGAGGCCTGGCCAAGCACTTTCTAGTCTTAAATGATAAATACTTCCTGCCTGTTTATCGGAGTCGTGGCTCTAACCCCTCGACACAGTGGATCATCTTCATAGATACTCTGCTACTAGGTTTCTCTCTCTGTCTGGATAATCAGATTTAATATTCCCTACTTTGCTAAAGTTCATGTAAAATATAAGTTTGCCACTGTGTGAGACATGATTTTCCTTTCCTCTATACCTGAAATATTGAAGAGCTAAATTGTTTAGGATCAATTTTGTGATGAGTGCTCTAAGTTATGGCATTTGAATTCATGTCTAATGGATAGGCAAGCAATTTAAACATTATTGATTGAATAATAATAAGTGCTTCTTAAGTATATTCTGTGGACCATTGGATATATGAACATTTATTACAGTCTGTAATGAGAGTGAGCGTTAGGAACTCTTATAGCAATTTGAAGATTTAATTTCTGTCTGTTGATTATAATAAGAATCAGGGCTTGCATTTTGTATGTATTTGTCTTTTTTCAGTTTCGTTTTTATTGCATTTTACAAAAGTATCAGTGCATGATAATTCGGAAATGAAAGCAAATGTTCCGTCCCCACAAATACAAATTAAAATATTCCAGTCTGATCATCTGATCTGGACACCCACCCTCCCAACATGCTCCTTTCATGCATTTCCCATCCTGGTTAATGGCAACCCCATTCTCCCAGTTTTCAGGCCAAGGTGCTTGGTAAGAGTATTGATGCTTGTTTTCCTTCCATACCCCACATCTGATTTTAGTACAAATCTCATCAGCCGTACCTTCAACTTATACACGGAATACAACATCCACTGCTGTGCCCCGGGTCCATCGAAGCCAAGACGAAATATTTCAGCTGAATTAATATTTTAGCCGGGATTGTCATCTCTTTTTGCTATAGTCTCATTTGTTCTATAAGATGATCTTTCAAAACAATCTGTGAGTTGCTCTTTTAACTAAGTGTACAGCATTCCATTTGGACATCAGGTTGAGGTGTTTCCATACAGTCTGAGCAGTAGGAAGTTCCCAAACCTCAAACAGAAAATGAATTGCGGGTGATGAGACATCCGCTTGCTAGGAAATGCACAGAATAAAGGCATTGCATTCCCTGAATAATTATTGTCCACAGTAACAGAGAGAATAGAATGTGCCGTCAGATCTCTTCACAGATGGCCGATAAGCATGTAGGCAATATTCCCTCTACAAACACTAGTAGAACTTGAGACTCATCGAGAAAAAAACCCACCAAATAAACACAGGAGCTCCCATAATATCTAATTAATCATACATGGAGCCTGGCTCATTTCAGCCACTTAATAACTTAATATTCCCCGCAAGGTGACCCGGTTGGATCCAGCAGGTCTTCTTTTAAGAGCATTTTAAGAGGTAAAGGCTGACAAGCTGGCGTCAGAAGTTGAAGTCTCTCTCACTTCAAGACTATTTGAAATTAGGTAGATGGACACATTCTTCCCAAGCTAATACTGCCGCCCAGCCTAGTTCTCTAAGCCTCATCTGCAATATGCTGTGCCATACCTGCTCCACCGCTCCTATCATCCGCTCCATCTAGGAGACCCTTTTGAGTATTTAACATGTGTAAGCTATTGAAAAACAAGTAGTGTGTTAGAACGATGAGCTGAAGGAAGTCTCTAGGTTTCTACAGTTTAAAAAATTCTTGGGCCGGCCCCGTGGCCAAGTAGTTAAGTTTGTGTGCTCCGCTTTGGCGGCCCAGGGTTTCACTGGTTCAGATCCTGGGCGCGGACATGGCACTGCTCATCAGGCCATGTTGAGGCGGTGTCCCACGTGCCACAACTAGAAGGACCTGCGACTAAAAATACACAACCCTGTGCCAGGGCGCTTTGGGAGAAAAAGGGAAAATAAAATCTTTAAAAAAAAAATTCTTTCTTTGCGGTACATTTAAAATGCTCTATTTCATCAAAATGCTGTCTTCAGAATATGGCATAAACCTATGTAAAGTTATGCTTTATGGCTCTCATTAACATTCAAATCACATCTTTATAAACTTTTTTTTTTTTTTTTGAGGAAGATTAGCCCTGAGCTAACTACTGCCAGTCCTTCTCTTTTTGCTGAGGAAGCCTGGCTCTGAGCTAACATCCATGCCCATCTTCCTCTACTTTACATGTGGGACGCCTCCCACAGCATGGCAAACCCCGGGCCGCCGAGAAGCAGAACATGCGCACTTAACCGCTGTGCCACCGGGCCCGGCCCTGTAAACTATTTTTCGTTTGTTACAAAATGTGTTTTCAAGAACAGTCTCAAATTCCTGCAATAATTAAGCCAATATAAAAACTATATCTCAGTGGAAAAATGCAATTTAGAGATTTTTTTATTTGATTTTAAAGTTTTTCATCTTCTTTAATTAGCAGATTTCTTAATTCTCCCTCAATCTACTTTCTAATCTTATTTTTCTTCTCTGGAACTTAACAATAATTTTCAGATGCATCACTAATAAGATCCTTCTTTGGTTCAATTATTTCACTTTTTTTGGGGGGGGGGGGAAGATTAGCCCTGAGCTAACAACCACCGCCAATCATCCACTTTTTGCTGAGGAAGACTGGCCCTGAGCTAACATCTGTGCCCATCTTCCTCTACTTTATACGTGGAACTCCTGCCACAGCAGGGCTTGATAAGTGGTGCCTCGGTCCGCGCCCAGCATCCGGACCAACGAACCCCAGGCCATGGAAGCATGGCTGGTGAATTTAACCACTATACCAGCTGGACAACCCCTATTTCTTTTCTCCTTTACTCGGCTGTAAAATCCCGGCCAATCTTTCTTTTGAGTAAATGTTGTATTGAATTACAACATATGAAGAGAATAATGCACAACTCAGTGTATGACTTCATTAATTTTTATTTTGTGAACACACCTATGTAACCAGCAGCTTCATAAAGAAATGGATTATAAGAAGCCCCTTCCCCAATTTACTCTCATCATTACAAAAGATTATGGCACATACATTTACAGGTTAGTGTTGTATGTTTCTCACTTTGTATAAAAGGAACCATCCAGAGCGTTCTCTGTAGCGTCTGTCATCTTTGACTCATCATCATATTTCTGATACTCATCTGTGCTATGGTTTATAGTGGAAGTTATCCATTTTTATTCCTGTATGATAAGCTGCTATAGGAATATATCCTAATTTATTTATTTAATCTACAATTGAGGAACCTTTGAGTTGTTTCCACCTTTTGGTTATTAAGAATAATGCTGCTATAAACAGTCTTATGCATGTAGTATGATCAGTATTATTTTTTGTATTAATTTTTTTTCAAATTCTAGCCCTTCTGAGAGTTGTGCAATGGTATCTCATTAAGCTATTAACTTAAATTTCTCTGGTAACTAATGATGTTGACCAATATTTGTTTGTTGCTCATTTGATTATCTTATTTTGTGAAGTGCCAGTTCAATTATGTAGCCATTTAAAAATAAATGGGTTGTTTTACTTTTTCTTCTTGTCATATGGGGCTTTTTATATATTCAAGATATTGTTTCTTTGTCAGATGTACATACTGGAAGCCTTTTTTCCCAGTTTGTGGTTTGCAATTTAGACTTCTCGTAGTGTCTTTAGATGAATGGAAGTTTGTAATTTTTACAAAGTTCTTTAGCATTAGTGCTTTTTGTGTTCTGCTTAAGAAATTTTGGCCTCAGTCATGAAAGTATTTTCCTATATTTTCTTCCTGCAGTTTGGTTGTTTTAACTTTAACCTTTAAGGCACACTACTAGTGTGGAAATGATTTTATGATGGTTAAAGAGGACAGCCAAGATTAATGTTTTTCCCACATGGCTGCCCCACTGCATTGCAGTGGTTCCTTTGTCATAAATCAGGTGGCCACGGGGAGTGAGTCTATCTCTAGAATCTGTCTTCTATTGTATGAATTTGCTTGTCTGTCTGTAAACCAACACCAAAATATATTAATTATAAAAGCTATAAAATAAATTTTGATATATAGAAAGACTTCTGACTGTTCTTCAAGATGTCTTGGCCAATCATGACTCTTGGAGATCCATATATATTTTAAAGACAATTTATCAATTTTGATTGAATTTTCATTTGTTATTGCACTGAATATATTGATTAGTTGGGAATCATTAAAATTTTTACAACAAGTGATTTTCCCTTTCATGGAATGTTATAACCCTCCTTTGGTCATCTTTAATTTCTCTGAAACATTCTTAAATTTTTGGTGTAGAAGTCTTGTCCGTTTGTATTAGGTCTATCTCTAGGCATTTTTCAAGTTTTGGTACTATAATAAATGTTATTTTCTTGTTGAAAATAGCAAGCAAATTTCATTTTCTAATTGTGGCTAATATAGAGAGAGACAATTTTGATTTTTTATATTTACCTTTTATCCATCAAACCTGCTAAATTCATATGTGAATATTAATTTAGATGGAGATTCTTGTGGATTTTCTGCATATGTTGCCATATACTGCAAATAATAACTTTTTTATTTTTCTCTTTTAAATTGGTAACTTCTTTACTTTTTTTCATGCATCATTTCATGGGATAGGACTGTCAATAAACAAATGACTAGAAGTGACAGTAATAAGCTTCCTTGTCTCATTTCCAATCCCAGCAAAAGCTTTCAATGTTTTATCATTAAGCAAGTTGTTTGCAGTAGCTATGCCACAGGTAGAATTACTTTTTATTAGATTAAGGAAGTTCTATTATATTACTATTTTTCAAAATTATTATTTTTAATAACGAATGGACATTGAATGCTATTCAATTTTTTTGGCATTTATTGAGATGCTCATATGACTTTTGTTTTACTTCTTAGTATTGTAAATTTCAAGAGTTGATCTTCTAAAATGAAGCCAAGCTTACAGTACTAGAATAAAGCTTATTTGGTTGAAACGTATTATCTGTTGAATGCATTGCTGTATTCAGTTTGTCAATATTTTGCTCAGAATTTTTGCATGTATTTTAATGAGAGAGAACAGCTTGTAATTTTCCTTTCTTTAAATATACTAGTTATGTCTTTAATATCAAGTTTATGCAGCCCTCTTAAAATGAAACAGTGTTCCCTTTTCTGTTATTTTCTGGAATAATTTGTATAACATTTGTTTATTTTGTATGTCAACATTGGGAAGAATAAGTCAAAGTTTTCTTTGTGGAAAGGTCTTTAGACATGGATTCAATTTCTTTTACAGAGAAAACCTAGTTAGATTTTCTGTTTCTAATTGTGTTTCTTATTGGGTTTTAGTGAGATGGTGGATTGTTGTCCACCTATCTCAATATCCAAACTTAGTGGCTAATATCCTCTTCAGCTGTTTCAATAGCAATATGATTGCTAATATCCTCTTCCCTGTTTCATGTCTGTAAGATCTGTAGTGGTGTCATAGTTCTGATATTGGTAGTGTTGCCTTTCCTCTTGTTTCTTCAGTCAGTTTTGTTACGTTATGCTCTATCTTATTAGATTTTTCAAAAGATCACCTTTTAGCTTTTGTTTTATATTCCATTAGTTTCTGCTCTTATATTGATTATTTTTTGTGCATAATTTGATATATTTTGATGAGCTCCTTGAAATGGATACTTAGATCATTAACTATTAGCCTTTATTCTTTTCTAACATGCATTTCAGCTGATAATTTTCATACCACGTATAGCTTTAGTTGCATCTCACAAATTATGATATGGTGTAATCAAAATATTTTCTCGTTTGCATTATGATTCCTTCTTTGGCTCCTAAGTTATTTGCAGATGCATGAGTTCCAAACATTAGGTGATTTTCTATGTATCCATTATTTATTTCTATTTTAATTCTACCATGATCAGAGAATATATTCTCTGTGACTCAAATCCTTTAAACATAGTGAAACTAGCCTGTGTTCAATTTCAAAGAATGTACATTCTGCAGTTGTTGGTAACAATGTTCTGTATAAATAAATTGGTCAACTTGGTAATTATTTATTTCAAAATATCATCTGCTTATTTCATGAGTTACTAAGAAAAAATTGTTAAAAATTTCTCACTATCATTGTGAATTCATCCTTTTCTCCTGAACAGCTGTGTTTTTTTTCCCATACATTTTGTGATAGATTTTAGTTTCATAAAATTTAGAATTGCTGGATCTTCCTGATTGTTTTGTCCTTTTTGTGACTGGTATTGCTTCTTAGCTTAAAGTATATTTTCTATGAATTGAGTATCGCTAAACTAACTTTTTTGCTATTATTGTTTGCACGTATATCTTGCTTCATTTTTTAACTTTTAAATTTTATTAGTCTTCATATTTAAAGTTTTTCTCTTTAAAGCAGCACATAGTTAGTATTTTAATCCAGTTCATAATCTTTGTGTTTTAATTAGAGTATCTAGTGGCTTTACATTGGATGTAGTTGGGTTTAAATCTATCATTTTATTATTTGATATCTATTTGTTCCATCTGTTCTTTGTGCTTTTGTATCTCATTTCTGGTCATTTTTTAATTAAAACAGTATCCTTGTTTGCTCACTGTGCTTAATTAACTTTTCAGTTATGCATTTTATTATTATTCTGTAGCAACATAGAACTCATTACCCTATTTACTTCCTCCAGTATATTTTCCCATGTATTTTAATTTTGTATTTTATATTCAGACTGGTTCTCACAATACCCCTTTAAGATAGATTCTTAGAATGCAATCATTTCGCTTGTTATGTGTTCAATGGAACAAGCCTATTGGTTTTATTTTATTTGACATTGACTCTTCTATTTCTTTGTTAACAAGCTTTTAAAACAATTATCAAAATACTAAAGTATGGTTTTTACTTATTCTCTCTATTTTCACAGTGATTTTTAATTTTAAAAGTGCTATCTATATGGTTCAATAACTATTGATATCCTTTTCTTTTAACAGACTTTTATTGGGGATATCCTCTTGCTTGTTAACCCATTCAAAGAGCTTCCAATTTATTCCACTATGGTGAGTATAAAATTTAAAATACTGCTTAATAATGTACAGTAACACTCACCAGACATACTTATTTGTATCAAATGATTGACTAAGAAGAAAAAACAAAACAAAAGGTAAGGTCAAACTTTTCAGGAAATTCTAACTGGATTTTGTGTAATAATGACTCAGATTTGTCTTGAGGCAGCACTGAAAAGGAAAGTTATTTCATCAGGAGGTTCCTTTGCACTTATAATATGTACTTGCTCTGTAATTGTAGTCACTTAGACAGACTTCTAAAATTAAGTAATATATTGCAGTGTTTTCCATGCATTCTTGAGTAATTCAAGATCAGTTGGTTTAGAGTCCTTGTTTGAACATCATGATCTCTTATGGAGAAGTTCTGTGATGTTAAAGCAATGGGAATAAGAAAGGATAATATGGAATTTATACATTTTCCCAAATAACTTGCCAGTTTTAATTATGAGACTGTCAAAATTAAAAGAGAAATTGCTTTTGGAAAAATTATTTCAGGCAACTGAATAATTTTTCTTTCTTGTACTTTTCTTTGTGGGGTTTTTTGTTTTTTGTTTTTCTGCTGGGAAAGATTCGCCCTGAGCTAATATCTGCTGCCAATCTTCCTCTTTTTTTTTTTGCTTGAGGAAGACTCACCCTGAGCTAACATCTGCTGCCAATCTTCCTCTTTTGGCTTGAGGAAGATTGTCCCTGAGCTAATATCTGTGCCAGTCTTCCTCTATTTTGTATGTGGGTCCCCACCACAGCATGGCTGATGGGAGGTGTAAGTCTGCACCTGGGATCTGAACGCGTGAACCTGGGATGCCAAAGCAGAGCGCAGTGAACTTAATCACTACACCGTGGGGCCAGCCCCTTTTTTAGTTTTTAATATCAAAATTATGCTGGACCCATAAAAGGAATTGGAAAATATTTAAATTCTGGATTTAATTTTTTGACATCTAGGACTGGTCATATTTTTTATTTCTTCTTTTGTCAGTTTTTAATAGTTGTGTTTTTCAAGAATTCTCTTCATTATATTTAATTTTCAAAAGATTTTGGCATAAAATTATTCATAATGCTATTTATCTTTTTAATGTTTGTGTAATTTTGAGTGATTTCTTTCTATTCCATATGTTGATAATTTGTGCCTTCTCTGACTTTTTAAAATCAGTTTGCTAGGAATTTTTAATTATATTAGTCTTTTCAAAGAAAAGAATCTTGACTTTTTATTTTTTTCTATTGTATATTTATTCTCTGTACAATTGATTTCTGCTTTTTATTTTTATTGTTTTCTTCTTTCTACCTTCTTTGAGTTTGATTTGATAGTTAAGTTGTATAGTTATATCATTGATTTTATGTCCTCCTTTTATAAATAAGTATTTGAGGCCTTTTATTTTGCTTTAAACACAGCTTTACATAATTCTGCATCTTTGATATTTCACACTTTCTTTAGATATTTTCTTTTCTATTGTGATTTCTTCTTTGCTGTATGAATTCTATGAAAACATAAACAATTTTTTTCTATATTCTACACTTGTTTCTCTTTGATCTGCAGTCTGCATATACTGGCTGACCAGGTTACTAATTCTCTATTCTGTTGTTTTGACTCTGCAGATAAAACTGTCTATTAAATTGCTGATTTCAGTTATGTTATTTTTTCAATATTAAAATTTCCATTTTATACTAAGAGATTCTAGTTCTTTGGTGAAATTCTTTGTCTTGCCACCTAATTTCTTGAATATGGTAATGATTTATTTTTAAATGTGCCTGATAACTCTAATAAGAATATTATTATTATCAATCTAATAACTCTAATACTAGAAAATAATGATTCTAATCTAGCCTAATGATAATATCTAATATCTGGGTCTGTTTTTAGTATGTGCGTTTTGGTCAATTGGTTTTCCATTATGTGGACATATTTACTGACATTTCTGGAAAATGTTGATTGAATACCAAACCTCTTATATAAAAAACTATAGAAGCTAGGATAGTGTTATTTTCTTCCAAAGAAGTTTTGATTTTTTTCGCCTGGTGGGTGCATAAACTGTAGGCAGATCACGTTGACTCAGTTAAGGCCCCTTTGCTTTGTATTTGTCTTGTGCATAAGGTATGCCCCTCATATAGGTCTCAAATGAGAAGCTGGGATGATGTCCATCTAGGCTTTCCTCTGTTACGGAGCCTTGACCTTGAATTTGTGTCTCCCCAGCAGTGTGAGCCTGCTAACATCTCCGCTCAGCTTTTCAGACACTTACATTTATTTTCCAAGAGGCCTCTGAGTTTTACTCAGCAAAGTGACAATGTATGGTGGGAAAGAGTATGGGGAGGAGCTTCTTGGTTAGATGTCTTTGACACTCTCCAAGACCTTGATCCACGAAGTCCTAGCTGCTTTGGTGATTTTCAGAGGCCTCTAATTAGGTGTTTAATTTGTATTTTATCCAGCTTTTATGGTTGTTCGTGGTGAGATAGTCTGATACCAGTTACTTCATTATAGCTATCTGATAAAATAGGCCATACCTATTTTTATTGCATTGGTGTCAGACAATCATTTAGCTTCAATATCTAAGCTTGGTTGAAATTCTATGTCCCTTATTGTTTAATTCTATATGTATCTTTCAGAGAGGGGGGAACATATGCTATTTAGAGTTAACTACTGATGAATTGTTCCTGGCTTATATTACAGTGTCACGTTGGATGGTAGAGTTAACAAGAATCTTATGGTGAGGCAAAAGTCAGTTGTAAATAACTGAATAAAAATATAGGGGCTGGCTCAGTGGCACAGTGGTTAAGTTCACACACTCCGCTTCTCAGCGGCCCGGGGTTCACTGGTTCAGATCCCACGTGTGGACATGGCATCAGTTGGCACTCCATGCTATGGTAGGTGTCCCACATATAAAGTAGAGGAAGATGAGCACGGATGTTAGCTCAGGGCCAGGCTTCCTCAGCAAAAAGAGGAGGACTGGCAGTAGTTAGCTCAGGGCTAATCTTCCTCAAAATATATATATATATATACATATATAATTACTATTTAAATGCTTCTATGGATCTGGAGGTCAAATTATATGTATTAGGGAAAATTTAACACAATAAATTGCTATAGTATGGCATTACCTATATGAAATTGTATCTTGTAATGGAAAACACCTGTTATTTTGTGGTTTGTTTTTAGGGTGTCAACAGTATGGCACTTTTATGGCTTCAAATAATATGTTGTATTTGCACTTCTTTCAGAAATACGTGTTAGAGATAAGGAGAGAAACATTAAGAGACATATTTCTTTATTAATGTAGAAATAAGATATAATGCATTGAGATTTTTGCCAGAACAGTTCATTAAAACAAAATGGCGAATGCAACACATAAATTATGTGTATCATCCTTTATATCCATCATTTCCAACTGACTCTGGCATAGAATTTATGGGGAAAATAAATATATTTAGGTAAAATATGCAGTGATGTAAAACTAACAATCAAATTACCCACTTTTTACACATCATAGTGAAATTGTACAGTGTCTGGTGCTTTTGGAATTCACATCCATTGTGCAGAATGAAATAGTTTGTACTTTCCTGATCTACAGTAATAAACCGTAAAATTATAGTTAAGTAGATACAAGGACTTAATTTTTAGGTTGAATTAGAAGGCATCCTCTGTAGCAATATTTGTACCTTGTAATTCTAAATCAGCTACTCATGTACTGAACCACGTTAAAATTATCTCATCGTCCTAGGACACACAAGAGAAAGTTTCATTTCCTTTTGTGTGTCTATTGATTATAATTATATGTATGTTTATTATTTTGAGTGATAAATTTTGTTCAAATAATTTGGTTTCATACCGTGTTGATTAGTTTAATAAAAGAAGAAGATAGAACATTGAGCATATTCATATCCATAAAGATTTTACAGACTCAGAGAATGACTGCTGTGTTTCGTGTTAAAAAGAAAAAGTCCACATGCACCATCTGTGTCTCGCTTTTATTTTGTTACCATTAACTGAGTTATATTAAGCCTTTGCATAATATTCATTTTTTATTTCTAGCAGGTCATTAATCACGGATGTAGAACAGCCTTTGTGGCAAACTTCATTCTGAGACTAATATAAACACATGACAGCAAGCAGCCCCATCCATTAGATAGCTCACTGCCCTAAGCAGTGTTGATCTGATGCTAACAAGCGCTGAGGAGAAGTGGCACTTAGTGGGCCAGGAGGCAGACAGTTCTAAATGAGGTATAACCAAAGGGAAGGGTTCATTATGGTGCTGCCCACTTATGTTGAAGGCAAGTAACATCACTCATTTTAAACATGAACAGGTGGAGGAAAAGGAGAAAATAGAAAAGTAGCCAGATCTTTCTGAATAGGCTTTAGGAAAATAAGTAAACTTATAATCAGAAACAAGAATGCTTCATCAAATTAACAAACGTTAGTTGAGTCTATTAAATACAATATGTTGCACTCAATATTTAGGGATGCTAAGTAGGAGTCTCCTTGTACTTAAGAACTGCATAGACATTCTAGAGACACGACATAAATAATGGCGAAAAAGTAATCACAAACTTCACGTGTACCTGAGGACAGTGAAATAGCAGGATTGAGGGCACACTATTAATTGACAAGTCAGGAGGTTAGAGTGAAGGAGATTGTATCAGGATAAGAAAGGCATTTCAGTCTTGAAGAATGAGTAAGACTCTGCAGAGGGGACAGGGGGTGTATTTTGGAAAATTGTCTGGAGCCACATTATAGAGATGAAAACATATAAGACCATTTAGAGGAATGCACAGACCAATTTGATAAGAGCAAGAAGTTAAAAAAGTTGAATGCATGAAATCTGATTTAGGCCTAGATTATAAAGCTAAATTAGAGAATTTGGATTTTATTTGCAGAAAATACAAACAGTGTTTATAAGTCGCCTGCCATCAGTTTCAGAAAAAGACACATTTAGTCAAGAAGACTAGTTAGGTATATACTGAATTAATCCAAGAGGAAGGTTATCAGGGCCTAATATGGAGTGGGCAGAAAGAGAAGAAATTGAGTGAGTCTATGAAAAGACAATAAGAAGTATCTATAGAGTAATTTTATTTGAGGACTGAAGTGAGAGGAGAAGGTCAATTGAAGACACAGGGTTTGAATTTGTGAGTCTGGGAGAGTAAGGGTATCTATAGCAAAAAAGAAAATGAGAAAAAAGAAATTCATGAGGAAAAGTCAGGTTCAGGTGAACATATGAAGTTTGGGGAAGTTGAATTAAAATAATGTTTGGATTCTATACTGGGTACCAGATTAGGGATAATTCACATAGATAGTTCCTTTTGTAAGATTACTTAGGATTCACACTATTTTTAAGAATGAGGTAGAAAATAATAGAAAACAAAGATCATGATAGGAGAAGGGGGGGTGGGAGACAGCAATGACAGGGAAGATGGCGGCCACCAGAACCAGGTCTAACGCATTGGTGAAGTCGTGATGAGAAAGAACGAATGTCTTAGATGTTTGTATCATTGTGGAAACCAATAAATGAGTAAATGTCATGAGAGTAGACGCTTCAGCAATAAATATGCATTGGCCCCTCACACATCAATATCGAAAGCTTTCTCAGATCTTATTGCTACCTTTTCTGTGGAGTTCACAGACCGAAGATGGATCATCGTGAAATCTCAATGTGCAAAATGATGACACCATTCAGGATAAAATACCTGGGGATAATTTCTCACAATTATATTTTTGAGTACACACGATACAAAACAGATCAGTACTCGTTCTCTTTTCCTCCTCTATTTGTCAGTGAGATTGAGCTGTCCCACTGTGTAATCTGGTATCTAGTGTGAGATGCCAGGCTTAGGGCTGTGTTTGATTTCAGATCCACTTGCTGTTGGTCTCCTAATATTCCCATTTCTAGGCATGTTCGAGTTTGGCAAGCAGCTAGAGTGGCTGCACAGGGCTTACTATGGATGAGCGGGCCTGGGAAGGAAGATCAGTAGTTGGCGTTGTTTAGGGTTTATTACAGGGCAAGCCTGGGGCAAAGGGCTTTACACATAAACGTGATCTCTTCATCACATTTGATCTCAAAAGGCAACCCGCTCCATATAAGAATTACCATTTCCACTTTGAAGATGGATAAACTGAGACTCAAAGGGATTAAATAAGCTTTTCAAAGACTTGTGTGATTGGCAGAGACCAAATTTAAATCCAAGTCACGTAACTCCAGAGCAAATGCAGGACAGGCTACCCTCAGCAACGCAAATGCTGAGCCCAGAGACACATATTTTTTAAATTATATTTGATCTTTTGCAAAAACAAACACACTTTTTTCAGAATATGCCACCTTATATATATCTATAAATAATGAGTGGAAAATCTAATCAGGCAAGTAGAATGACATATTCATAGTATAGTGTGAAACCCACAGCCCGTGCCAAGTCAAGCCATTGGTGTCAGGGAGGTTCCAAGGGTTCCCAGGATCCTGACACTGGGGAGTGTGAATGGCCCTCTCAGAAGCTGTGGAACACGTGATTGGCTTCAGAAATCAGGATGTAGCAGGATCCTGTTATCTCTTGGCAGTTTATTTAGAAGTATCACACACAGTGGAAAAAACAAGGGAAGTGAGCCATAGAGAAGGACCTTATCCATTCGAACCAGAGTCCAGCAAAGAGCGATAACCCCAAATGAGGCTGAGGAGATGCCATCTCATCCATGAGCTAAAACAGAGCACTTAAAATTCCCACTGACCAGAATCCTCCTGTTGCCAAATGATGCAGATGGGGAGAGAATGGTGAAGTAGAGAGAGAAGGCATGTGCAAATGAGAATGTGCAATAATACTGATAATGATAATGATAAGCAATATAAAAGATAGCTTGTCAGTAACTCAGAAAACTAGGACTGCATAAGTGAAAATCTTCAAAGTTCGATAGAAATAATTAAATGGGAAATACATTATTAATATTATGTCACATTTACATTACTTATAGAGCATCGAGTCAGCACCAAGCAAAGTATTACCAGGTGGTAGCAATGAAATATTCTACAATATACACTCAACTGCACATGAAAAGATTTAAAGAAAAGGAAGCTGAAAAAGGTCTTTAGTTTCAACATCATGAACAAACTTTATTTAGATACTCAAGATCCATTACACCTAATCTCTAGAAAAAATTCCCCTAAAGAGAATATGTAACCCCAAACAGGTTTGAGACAGAGTAGGATTCATCTCCACTCCTGGGTCTCTGGTCTCTCTTTGTCTGTAACATCTAATGAAATCCCCAGCAGGATTTTACAAGGCAGGTTGAGTTTAAAAGCATTGTGTCAAACTATATTAGGTACATGTTAGACCTGGAAAGAAGTGAAAGAGTGCAAGTTTAAAATAAAACAGAAATTTGTCCTACAAGAGAAAAGAGCTGGGCTAAAACTCCCTGTTGGTTTAGGAATTATAATGGATACATCACTATTATTAATTATTTTTAATATTTATTTTTAATTTTTGAATAATTAAAAATACAAAAATTGCAAGTATGTATGGATTTATCTGGTTACTAGAGAGTTTCTGCATCTTTTTTTCATATTTATTGGCCATTCTTTTCCACTTATATTATTTGCCCAATCTTTTATTTTATTTCCAGTTTTTCTCATTGATTTGTAGGAGTCATTTATAAAATACTAATAATTTATTGATTATACACACAGCTTATTCTCTCTGTCTTTGCTTGACTTTTTGTTTTATTATTACATGTCTGGCGTTTGTGGATGAACAGGAGTTAAGGTTAATGTTGTGAGACTGAGCCATCATTCCCGTTATAGTTTGTGTTTGTGAGCCATATTTCCTTACGTCAGTCATGAGAGGATCATTGTGGTACGCGTGTAAATGTTTTAAGCTTTGCCGTGCGTATTTGGGATGTAACTCCTCTGGAACTCATTGCTACACATGGCACGAGACAGAGGGCAGCGTTTGTCTCCTTTACAAACAGATCCTCAGTTCTCTTGACATCATCCTTTACTACCGATGCAGCAGTGACACGGCACCTGTCATACACCAATCCCCACGCCTGTGTGGGCTTAAGTTAGTTCTCTGGTCTGTTCCAGTGAGCTCGTTTCCTAGTCTCTGCACCAGAACCACAGTGTTAATGATTGTGGCTCTTTGAAGTTTTTATGGAGATATAATGCATACAGGAAAGTGCTCCTTTCTAAGTGTATAGTTGGGTACGTTTTCACGAGAACTGAGATGCAGAACATTACCAGCATTCCAGAAGCCCCATTCTTGCTCCTTTCCAATCACTAACACTTTGTCCAAAGTACCACCAACCTGACGTCTAACAGCGTCAACTGGTTTTACCTGTTTTTATACTTTATGTAAATGGAATCTTATAGTATGTTCCCTTATGTGTCTGATAGGTTCCACTCAATATTACATCTGTGAAATTCATCCAACTATTTATTGTCAGTGTAGATTATTTATTCTACTTTTAAAAATTCTTGCCCTTATTTTAAATAACTGCACACTTATGGAAAGTTTGCAGATAAATACAAACGACTTTTCCTCAACCATTTTCAGATAACTTGCTGGCATGTGGTCCCATCAACCTTGAATACATGTGTTGTGCATTTCCTACAAACAAAGGCATTCTCCTGTGTAACCTCCATAAAACCATCAAAATCAGGAAATTACTACTGCTACACTGCTGTTGTGTCATCAAGAGGCCTCCTTCAAGTCTTTCCCACTGCCCCAGTCATGCCCAGATAGCCAAAGATCAAGGCCACCATCACACGCTGTGTGTGTTGAACCACCAGGTCTTTCCTCTTCAGTCTGGAGCAGGTCCTCAATCTTCTCTTGAGCTTCTCAACCTGGACATCTTTGAAGATACACGCCAGTTATTTTGTAAAATAAAAATTAAGTTTTTCTGATATTTCTTCATGACTCAGAAGTCTTCCTATCATTTAGTTTTTATCGTAATGTAATCGAATTCACTAGAAACTCAAAAGGACTAAAAATACTGGCACTCAGTCACCATAGCAATCATCATAAATGACTGTATCACTAAAATCAAGTTAATTAAATTTGTCTTAGTGAGGAATTTGTAAATGCATAGGCATTTTAGCTGCCATGGCCTTGTATTCACATTAAAAATCCTTGCTATCTTGCATTACTGGAATTAAATGTTGCTGAGAGAAAGTGTATTTGATGTAAATGACCACAGTTTCAGCTTACTATGGATAACTGTTAAACTTGATTTTTGTGAGTCGCTTTTCGTAAAGACAGCGGAATAATTTAAAGCCTGTGAACCAAGTCACAAAGGATCAAATGTATGCTGCCATTTTGTCATTAGGAATGCTTAAAACGTGCTGAGCAAGGCATAATGTTTCCAATGTTTTAAAGTTACAAATGAGGTCCAAAGTTAGAGATTTGTTTGCTTTCGTGTATTGGAAATAAGTCTGTTGCATCACGAGGTAAAGGATCGTGAACCTTTTCACAGGAACTTGTCTTCCTGCTTCGCCCTCTTTCAGGTCTCCCAGCTGTACCTCAGCAGCACCGGGCAGCCGAGCGCCTCTCTGCCACCTCACATATTCTCCTGCGCCGAGAGAGCCTTTCACCAACTTTACCAGGAGCAGCGACCCCAGTGCTTTATCCTCAGGTGAACCCACCTGCCCCTCACCCCATCTCAACTTTGCCCTGGGGCTTGGTGTTTCTTATGGTTTACGCTTATTTACTTCCTCAGCAGTTTGCAGTCCAGGATGTCTTTGCAATAAGTACGTTTGACTCCTTACAAAGAAGAAGCATCTTTGTTATTAGAAATAGCCCCAGGTGTGGCTGGATCAATAGCAACAAACTTAACCTGAAACTCAATTCATTTTGAAGATTTACAACTTAGAACCAGAGTGTTTTTGCTTTCAAACAGAAAACACGGGGAAAGCAAGGCACCGCATGTTGGTGAATCTCTACCTTAGTTCTCCAAAAGGTGGTGCTGCCCCGAATATAGCTTACCACCTTGCAAATGCGTTTTCCCACCTGCTTCCGGGTACTTACATTTCCTCGGATTTCAACAAAATTATACATCCTAAGTAATTTTTTATTAAAATATAATGGTAACATTAGCTCATAAATATCAAGATGCTCAGGAGAATGATTTACCTTGGAGCAAAAATTCTTCACACCTAAAAGTAAAGTGTGCCTCAAGATGTGGAGGTGAAATGTGATGATGTATTGACAGAGGAGTAAAGAAATTTTTAGGTGTTAAAATAAGATCTGCATTGAGAATTATGTTTTAGATTAGGCCAAACCTCAGCAAGAGGGAGACTTCTACAAATACTCGTGGCTTTGCTTTAGGTGTCATCAGTAGCATTGGTTGAAAAGGGTCTATGTTAATAAAGCATTGCATAAATCCAGTCGATGTGAAATGAAAGCCTGTGAGGATGGAAATCTGGATTGAATCCTAGGATGTTTCCATAAGCACTTGTTTATATACTTCTACATTGTCGATTTGATCAGAAATTCTGGGAGGGTAAGACCCATGGGTCACACACTGCAGTGTTCTAATTTTCAAAGTAGTGTGCAACTTTTCACACTTGTTCAGAAGTGCCCTGGGGTAAGAGAGGCATGGTGTGGGGGATGGGGGGAGTAGCCCCTCCTATTCTTGAATCTAGCAACTCTGTTTTTATCTGCTTTATCTATTGAGTTTTCTGGCCTGGCTTTGATAAAAAAGAGAAACCCTTTTTTAACTGTAAGATTATGGGGTGTGTGTACAATAGTAACAACTAATATTTATTGAGGACTAAGTGCCAGGAGCTCCACTAGGTGCTTTCCATGTATTATGTTATTCTTTGCTTTAGCAACCTTCTAAGGCAGGTATTATTATTGATGTTAGTATTATTGTCACCATTATTTATATCAGTATTAGAAGAGTTAACTAATTAGTCCAGGGTCTCATGATTAGTAAACAGTGAATCTGGGCTTTGAGCTCAATAGTGTGAATTAGTAAATGATGACTAATTAGTCTAAGGTCTAATAGATGGTGTATCTGGGATATGAGTCCTCTCGTCTGGCTTCTGAGCCTGAGTGAGGATGAACCACTTTCATAGCCAGAGACCAGTGCATAGCTAGCCTCCTGCTGCTAACATAACCTTTCCACAGCCCATCCCTATCTCCGCTAAAATGAAGGTCACAGACCCATGGATTTACCTAAATTCTTATTGAATTCACTTGATTCTAAAGCAGACCACTCCAGCTGTTGCTCATGGCTTGTGAAAGACATCGGTCCTTAGCAAAGCTCAGAGGAGCCAATGGATCCATTTCCTTGGGGAATCTGCCTATTATAGAGTTCACAATGTCTAGCAAGTTCTGTCAGTAAAGAAATCTGTTTATCTTTGTTTAACCCAACGATCTCTATGTGTATTTGCTCATGGAATTATTTTCCCAGTGAGACTTGTTAATATTCTGCAGAGCTAGTATCCCTTTGGGACATTTTATAAGGCTAAAATTGCCATGTATCAACCTCTTTTTCTGAGAAAAAGAATTCTTCATTCAAGTTTCAAGAGAGTATCCCCTGGTCCTGGCCTTCAGAATCAAAGAACAAATCTGTGACCATAAGGATTTCTTTTCAGTCATTCTCTTTTTTTCTTTCAGGATTGGTGTTTTCATTAGCTTCTCTACTTGCTTGGTTGTCTTGACTAAGATTAGACTTTCTCCATTTATCATTAAAATTAATAAATTTAGAATTCAATTAAATACATTGTCTAAAGATCACTTATGGAGTGTCTGTTGTATCCCATAAGTAGCATTTACAAAGGATAGTTTTTAGGATTGGGGATCAAAACTCAAATATTCCTGGAATAGATGTCCTATAACTTGGTACTAGGTCAAGAAAATTTTATTTCCAAATTTTAATTTTATTTCTCACTTTCCTGATAATTTTAGGCCCCAGTAGCACAGTAGGCCTCATCTTGAGCAATAGTCTTTAATAATTTTCGGTCCTTTGTCCCAGGCTATGACTGAGAGTTTGGAGTCTACCGTAATCTATCTTACTTTTAATTTCCTGAAAGCCTTGATAGATGGTTTTAATTAATTGTTTGAGCATGTATGCCAAATATTCATTATCCTAACTGTATTCTGAGCAAACCTAAATTAATGTTATATGCTGAACACACAAGTAACTTGTGAAATAAGCAGCATAGGGTCTGCCTCTGTCGTGTACAGATTTAGCAGACAAGGCTGTTCAAATAAGCTTCGAAATATAGGTCCATGATTGTTACAGCCCAGAATCCTTGGTCAGTTTCTAGTCTAATCATAGACTTGGATTTTCAGATCAAGGAATGTTTCTTGAACACGTTGAACTAAGATTTTTAGTTTTAACCTGATATCCCTATGGAGCCAAGCCTATCATAGCCCACCTTTTCTTTTATTTTATTTTCTTGTATTTTCTCAAGGTTTATATGAAATATGGCCATTTTGAGATTTTATGAGATGGTTAAAATGCATGTGATTTTAGCTAGCTAAGAGAGTTGATCGTTGCCCCTACCCCCACATCTGGCAATTGAGTAAGTACAATGATAGGGAGAAGAGAGAGGGGCTCACCTGACCACCCAGTCAGGCCCATTGACCTCGCGTGCCTCTGGGTTTCCACCCCTGCAGAGACTGTGTCAGCCACATTCAGCACTCTAGACTCCCCACCTATTTCAGGCTGCTCGGTGGATGCTCAGGAAACCTTGGATGAGTGTTTAGCATTGGATAAATGCTGCCTTCTATACTAGCCCTGTCCTAGGATCAGCTCAATGCTCACCTTATCCAGAAGTCTTCCCTGGTTCTCTCCAGGAGATGCAACTGCTCCTTCACCTGTGGGCACATTGCTGGCTGTGTCCCATGTCACTGTAGTTATGTGTTATGTATGTATGTACTTAGTGTTTACTGTAGACTATGCCCAATGGATGGCACAGGGGGCGGTATCTTTTCACCTCTGTACCCCCAAAGCCTCACATGGATTCTGGCACACAGTAGGCCCACTGTAACTTTCCTGTGAGAGAACGTGCAATATTTTCAAAAGGAAAATGGTATTTTCAAGATCGATCCCTGAATGAATCCAAGCAAAATCTCTATAAAAACAAGAATTCATGAAACATCAAATTATTTCGCTGGGTAGTAGAATTTTTGTAACAACAAATATAATGGTAGAAATTAAATTTCCATTATGAAAGATTTAGATTGTTTCTGCTCTAAAATTAGGTTAAAAGAATAGGTCTTTGAACTGAGAAAAGGAGCTGCTTGTTGTGTGTGGGTCGTGTCACCTGTTCGCCCGAGGCTGCTTGCTGGTGGTTCTGAAAGTAGTTAAATGTTTATGGTCAGCCCAGATGAGAGGAATACAAGCATCATTAACAACTTGACACTTGAATGACAGAATTAAATTTCAGCTCTTCTTTTCTGGCAAATACCCTTTAATCACATTTATTAGAATAAATGTTCAAGGGAGAAACTCAAGAGAGCACTAGTAAAGGGCTTTATATATTTTTTAAATGTTTTAGCTATTAGATGAATAAAGACTGTTTTTATGAATATTCCAACTGAATGCAGTAAAAACTTTATTTTATCTCAGACCACTTTGGTATAGTAATTATTGTACTAGAATTTTATGTTAACCCTATATTGTGGAGTGTCAGGAATATAATATAGTTATTTATAGAAATTAGACAAGTTATAAAGTATGCCTGGGAAATATAAAAAATGTTGTCATTAGAAATAGCAAGTTTAGTTAGTACTTGTTCCTAGATTTGAGGAAAATGGAAAACATGGGATGTCAGATCTGACAGCACCCTCCAGAGGAATCAGGCCATTTTAGGATCTGCTGCATGCCAGGCCCTCTGCTCCCCTAGTCACAGCTGACAGTCCTACCCACTTAGTTTTAACAGCTGCGTGCTTTATGTTCCTTTTGGAGAAAAGGGAAGGAAAGTTCAAAACGATGTAATCACTTTTCCAAGGAAGACATAGTGTCTTTCCTGGAAGGCAGAGAAAGATTTAACAAGGCCAGGCCATGTGGCTCTATGACACATGCCCCTCCACAGTAGATGGCTGTCACCTTGGGACCAGCTCACTGACTCTCACTTATGAAGCTGAAGACAAGTGGATAGTGTCTTTATATTCAGCCTAGCGCCTTTCTGCTGTAATCCACCCATATGCGTGGTTCTACAACGTGAGATACTGGATGGTGGAAGTTGCATCATATTCATTTGTGGTCCCAGCATCTAAGACACCATAGGGCACATGACATAGTATATATTTACTAAAAATTTTGGATAAGTGAATCAAACAGAAGAGTTAAATGATACCATAAACTCATTCAAAGTTATGTCATTCCCTCACCGTCTCTGTGTCTGAGAAGTCTCTTTGGTTATTTAATTTTGTACTATATTCTCCAAAACAGTAAACTTGTGTTTTCTCCCTCTGTTTTCTTTTAGTGGAGAGAGAGGATCTGGAAAGTCTGAAGCCAGCAAACAAATAATCAGGCACCTCGCCTGCAGATCAGGCTCCAGCAGGCCTATATTTGATTCCAAATTTAAACATGTAAGTTTCTTCTTTGTCTTGGAAAATATGTTGAACCAAGAAAAACGTAATTTACAAATAAAAGGGGACATCATAATACACTATAATTTAACTATAAATTGGTGAAAATTGGGGGAAATAAAGAAAAAAGATTGAGGCCTGATACAAATTAATATTATTCCAGTGAAGTTTTATTTTCTTACATATATTTAAAAATATTTTGAACATAGTCTCTTTTTATATTCACTCAGAAGGGTTGGATTGAAAATATGCAATATAGTTAGAGATTTTTGTTCATGTAGAAAGTGCCACTTTGGTGTTTATATACACTTGGGGGGATTGGCCCAGCAATCAATTTTTGTGGGGATTATTGAGAGCTGATGATAAAATTTCAATGTATGTAAAAGAATTGATAACGGTAATGTCATAAAGTAACCTTAATGACATTGATGAGCGGGTAATAAACTTTCAACCCCAAACCTGATTTTAAGTTATATTCTGTAACACTTGCGTTTATTTAAAGACACCTTATCTTGCTACTTTATCTTCCTAAAATACTGCCAGGATTCAAGGAGGAACCCAAAAGACTTATTAGCTGCTAAAATAAAGTTAAAAATTTTCATGCAATAAACTCCGAAATGTAACTCAAGGAAACACCTACAGGTTCTTGTCCATAGACTGATTCTCTCGTTTTCACACAGTCCCAGCAAATTTTGTTAACAGGTTTGTTCCAGGCCACAGCAGATTGAAAGAAGAAACTCAAGGATTTCTAGAAAACTCCACATGCAAGAGGGAACCCCTAGCGGCAGGGAACAGACAGCAAGATGATCAATAACCAATCAAGAAAATGGTCAGAACTCCAAAGTGTGCTGCTCTGGGAGCCTTTACCTACAGAGCTGACCCTCCACATTACAACATTTTTAGGAAGTCACTCCAGAATAATAGGACTTCATGATGATCGTTCTAAGCTTGAGACAAAATGAGACTCCTATGTACGCCCCTGTTATTTTAGGGGACTTGGAGTCCTACACTGCCCTTGCCTGTGCTCACTGGCCCCGTGATTGGGTCCCATGTATATGCTGTCACTCCCCATCCTAATCTCATCCTCCTCTTCTTAAGCTGCAGACCCACCTTTCCAACAGCCTTCCTGGCCATCCCACAGTGCACCTCAAAGACACCTCCAGAGTTTAATTCATTGTCTTCCTTCTCCCCAGTGTTCTCCTCCCAGGTGACCCATCACAATAAATGGCACAATCGCTTCCTGATTTCCACAGCCAGAAATCTGGAATTCACTTTGACTCCAGCCTCTCTCTGTCCCCCACACAATTAACAACATCCATCAATCCAGCTCTTTAGGATCCATCCAATTTTCTTCAGGCCCATGATCATCTCTATTGTTGAGACCGTCATCTTCTGTCCTCAGATTTTCTTCAAGAGTCTCCTAATGTGTTTCCTTGCTTCCCCCACTCTTGATGGTCTCCCGATGCATGTACATGTAGCTGGTCTTGACTGACAGGTCAGCTCTCCTCCCCAGCATCAATCAGAGCCCAGGTTCCTTCTAACTCATTGCTCTGTCATTCCCCAGGGCACTGTCCCCACCTGCATGGTGAGGCATCCACAATGTAACTGACAGGAAAGGAACAGGAAGCACGAGAGCAGGGAGAGGGTTTATCTTGTAAGGAGGATGTGCATCACTTATTTTCACAGTGACAGGCTTGGACTTCGTCACTTAGCTGTGAAGTTACAACTTGTCTCTAACTAGGCAGCCATGTGCTCAGCTTCAGCTGTTGATTTTGGTGAACTATTAGCAGCTTGTATCATAACTCCATTGCTCAAAACCATTACATGACTTTCTTTCCCTTTAGATCAAGTTCAGTAAGTCAGCAGGGCCCGACATTCTTCAGGATGGTGTCGTTTTCTTCTCCAGCCTTATAGAGTTACTTCCCTGTTCTCTTATTCTTGCTGAAGCCACATTTGGACACATATCCCTCCCAAACTGGGCCATGAGGTCTTGTTCATTTATTAGTTTATTCAGCAATTACCTATTAAGTGGCTGCCTCGAATTCAGAGACACAGCTTAGTACCTACCATATGGTAAGGGGTCAATTTCTAGGTGGTAAATGAAGGAATAAATACCTGAATAAAACATTTATCAGTAGTTTAGCACACCTAGGAAATATTTAATTATTCACAAACCTAAATTAACTTACTCTAGTATTATCAAGTAAATTTATTGTGGATAAACCATTTGTATGTAATCAGGACCCTGTAAATTTTGTGTTGTGTGTGTGTATGTGATGTGTACAACCAATATTGTCATTTTCTTGAATCTGTCTTACCCACCTTTAATTAGACAATGGGAATTTCCCCTTCTCTCTCTTTTGTTTTTTTAAAATAATCATCATTTATTTTTTTGGTTTAAGTTAGGAAAGACATATTTGTTCAAAATTTTTAATTGTTATCTCTCAGACCAAGAAACCATTAACCTTATGTATCAAAAATTACGTTCAATTCCTCACACACACAAGAAGAATATAAGATTTGCTAACAATAAATCAACATGCTCTTGTATTCAAGAAAATGTTGTCCACATATGTGTATCATTCTCTTGACAAGAAAAATGCATCGTACACATCTTAGGTCATGTCATAGCAGTACACACTCTGGCTTGACATGTATTTCAAAGTGAGGTATTGCAAATATAACAATGCAGTCTCAAGTTTACACGGCCAGCCCCTCCGGAATCTTCCCTGTCCAGGCCTCACTGTACACACATTTGCAGAAAGACACCTGCATTTCATTCAGCAGTTGTATATTTAAAAGTATCTGATTGCATTGGAATAAGAACAGTTGCTATTATCTTAGAGCATTCCCAAACACAATGCCTTCTCAAAGCCCAGATGTTAAACATTTAGAAACCTATTGCGCGATGACTATTGTGCTGTTTATATTTGGTTTTGTGTCATCTGCCCTTTTCATCTCGAAGCTGCAGGGCAGAGTTATTTCTGTCATGGGAACATTCTGTCTATGGGAACATTCTGGAAATTTTAGTATCGGATTGCTCATTTAGAAATGAGAGGAACTTATTTTTAATTTATAGATTGTTATAAAAAACATTTTCTACTTTTGAGTAAGAAGCCCTTAAAAAATTAAATCTTAAATTTGCTCTGTGGATTCTCAAGCTTCTGCCTGATTCTGGAGATTTTTCTCTCTATGAAGAATGTATAATAAATCAATTCTGCCGCATATCTATGGCATCTTATGTGTTCATTAATAACTTTAACTCATAACCATTTATTAAGCTCAAACTATGTATCAAGTACCTGTGTAATTCTACAGCATAGCTCAAAATACTTTAACATTTTGGGTCAACTTGGGAAGAATAGCATAAATTATCTTCTTTGTTCAGATATTGTAATGTACTGACTACTGACACTTAAGGATTAGAGAATTTATGAAACAATACGGTCATAAAATAGACTCAGGTTGTATAATAGAATAGCAGGATCTATTGGCTTCATTGTAATGACAAAGAATAATAGCATCTACTGTAAATTATAGACTAAAACAATGATTTATTAAAATGATCCTTTAAGAGCAGGCTGTGTAATTTCTAAAATGCATTCTAGATTACTTTATGTAAATTGGCTTTGCATTTTAGCTTAAGTGAATTCATTCTAAGCTGCATTTCTTTGGATAAGATAGAGTTAACTCTTCCAAATTAATTAGCATTTGGGAATCAATATTATAACGTCAAGTAAAACTACTTCAATTCATTTGTTTTACTCATTTCTCATGGCAAATTGAGGATGTCATAAATAAGTGTTTTCTAGTCTCATGAAATAATTTTGCCCAGGTTTGAGTATGGCTTAAACTTCACGTTAATTACGCTTTTTTGGGTTTCCCTTTAAATTATGATCTGCGTGAATATCATTGTGTCCAAGACGTTCTTGAAAATTACCCAGCCACAGTTTTTGCACAGAGTCAAGTGTGTGTGTGGGCATTAAATACAAGCATTGGATAAACTTAGGAATCGATTGTAAATCTTTAAAACATCACAGAGATTCAATGAAATTATGTACATTTAAGAGATGAGCCATGCTATGTGGGACTGTTTCGCAGAGAGCTTGAAGCTCAGTGCACAATGAGATGAAAGGAACCTCCGTTAGGTGGCCCTAAAAGGAGAGGAGCCAGTGAGCTGAATTAGAGTTGGTTCAAGATAGTGAGACAGGACACTGGCAGACACAGTGCAAGATGCTGCCACGCGGTGGCCTGCATGCTGTGCCCCACAAACACACGCTGGTTCTCCACCTGGGAAATGCTGGTTGAGGCTGGACCAAACAAGTTTGCCCTGGATGCTAGTATAGTGTGAGAGAAGAGCAGTCATTGGAGGTTACTCTGATCAGCAGTTACCAACGAATCAACAGTGAAAGAATGGTGGAGACATAAGCAGGACATATTAGGATGGTCTTCCACAGAGAATCGTGTAGAGGCTGAGGACTAGGCCCACTTTCCTTGTGGTCTACATCGATGGCATAAGTAAAGGTTTGTAAATGAAAGGTTATAATCTGGAGTGTGGGGAGCAGAAGACCAGAATGAAGAGGTTTGGGAGGGAGCTTGCCGTTTATAAGCTCCACGCTGCCATGGTGAGGGGTAGTTTCTCTCCAGGGCGGGGTGCACAGGGGAAGAGAAGGACATGTAGCCAGCATCTGGAAGGTGAGGTAGAGCCCAACACTGAGCTCCAGGCATGATTTTTGGTAATTGCATGCAGGTGATACATGTAGTTTTAAGGGATGCACAGCTGTGAGGTTTCAGCGTGTTAACCTTTTCCTCAGATGTACCGTCTTCAAGGTCTGCGTGGTTTGCATTCGGCCTTTGCTTGGGCTTCAGATGTGCTTTCCACGGTGGGCAGATGGTTTGAATCCTCTCACTATAAATATTGCTTTTGTTTCCTGTACAATTTCAAAACAGCTAAGATCAGCTAAGAAGGCTGTTCTTTCTAATCCCTCTATTTGAATTTCAAACTGTGGAAGTAGGGGATTTTCCGTGGCAATAGGTTTATTGGAACAGAAAAGTCATGTTTTGGGAAAAAAAAAATAAAAGGCTGCCTGGGACTTTTTACTCATTCTGGCCCAAATGAGTTTCAACTTTAAGGAACATTCAATTCCATTCAAATTACTGAAATAAACATTTATTGAGCAACTGCTTTCACAGAGCAGAATGATGAGGTCAACTTGATTAAGCCATTAGTTTTTATTGAGGAGGCCACCGTTTTTTACTTTTAAAAAATACAAAAGGTTAATAAGACCATGATAATAGCACATAACTTTTAGTGGCATAACTATTAAAATTTTATAGAAAACACACCATACAATATGCATAGAAAAAAATCACGCCAGTAAAATTTGAATAAGTAAGTACTGAGGACATATATACTTACATCTCTTTGCCTATATATTTATGTAAAGGTTTTTTAGTTTACCACATTCTCATTATTTTATTCAGTCAAGGTGAACGGTGGAATAATAGTAAGTTTTGCATTTCTCGATATTTCTCAACACATTTGTTGAGTGCCACCTATTGGCCAAGTGGCTAATTAAAGATAGAAGCCACTCTGGTTATTTCACTTTCATCAGTGAAATAACTTGAGTTATGGACCAGCCAGCAGTGCACAATGAAAGAAAGCTTTGTGAGTATTTATATTTTGCTCAGTGGTTTTATTTTTATGCCATATTTGTCTTTATTGTTTTTCTAACAGTGAAAGCCCTACACTGCAGAGATTAAACACACCACTTCTGCAGAAAGGTTGCTTGGGCTCAAACCCCAGCTCCACTATTTACAAGCTCTGAACCTTGGGAAAGTTAGGTACTCTCTCAATTTCCTTTTCTGTAAAATGGAGACACTAGTTGTGAGGATTATAAGAAATATATGCATAGACACACACACATATGTAATACATATATGTGTAATTTATAAATATATTTATATATATAAAGCTCGAATAGTATCTGGCATGTAGTAAGCCCAGTGTTAATGTTTTCTGTTGTTATTAACAAACATAAAGGTAATCCGTGTTCTTAGTTGACTGCTTTCTATGTGCAGGCACCACCCTGAGGGCTTCAGACCCTGACATTGATAACCACTGAGGGAGTTATTCCTGCGTTAGAACAAAGGGAGCTGAGGTTTGGGGAAGTCGTGAAACTCGCTCACTGTCACATAATTTGTCCTCAGCAAAGCTGGGACAGGGGCAGCTACTTCTCAGTCCAGAGCACACACATCCCTCTTTACTTCCTGTTTGCACACGTGTCATGAATTATCTTTTATCTCCCTTTTCTATGATAATAAAAAAATCAGGTTATTAGCAGATACAGCACCAAAATAACTAGAAGCCAAAATATCTTTAAAAATTCATTCTAATTCTTTTTATGATCTTTTAAACTGTTGTTTAATATAGTAGTATAAATGTTTAAAATGTGATATAATTACACTATGAATTTCACTATATATTTATTTAATATTAAATTATTGAAAAAAAGCAAAAAATAGGGCTCTCATAAATACTATTCCATATTATTTTTCGGAAAACATTTCTACCGTCACCATCAATTCACTGTTACGATCTTTAATATTAGGTTATTATAAAGAGACCTAAATCATAGGGTTTCTGTAAAGACTTAATATGTTTCTCTCCAAAAGTTAAAACTTCAAAAAACCGACGTTTTAATATATTTGACTATTACCACAACTTTTAACATTTTTTATTTGTAATTAGAATCAAAGTACTGTTTTATAATCATTCAAAATATAAACTACTTCCAGGTGAACTGACTGCCTTGATCTAGCAGTCCCCAGAAAACTGAAAGGTAGGAGCAAAGTGGTTTTTTTTTAAATTTAGAATAAAATTATGAAAAGATGCTATCACCACAAATTATAAGGAACACAGTCTATCAATTAGGTATTATTGTCCTCCCTCTTGTGGCTGATGCAGGAACTGCAGTTAATGTATTCTTATTTTGAAAGAAAAACACCTTCCAACCTTATTTTTTGGAGACTTGCTTGGTCGTCACCATTATCACAGACAAAATCAATTGTGAGAATAAATGCTGTTTGTTGTATAGTCAGTGTTTAAGGAAACACGTCAAGAAAGAATTTCAGATGTCAGTTTGATCTGAGGAGCTTTATTAAGGGCATTTTAAGCTGCAAACTCCCCACTTCTGAAAGAGAGCACATGGAATAAGGCACACTGAATAAAGCAGCTCCATCCAGAACCCTGCCGCCTGCTCCTGTGGGAGACCCTGGTTGGCATGGAGCAACAACAGGGCAGAGGGAGGGTCGTAGGGGGGCTCCGGGCTGAAAAGTATGTGTGGAAAGTAAATACGAGTTCAGAAGAGGGGGATAAGCCAGTGTTCAAGGGAATTTACTATTTTTAAAAGAAATTCTGACTATTGCTTATATTAACTCTAACTCCTCCCCTGGAAAGCTACAAAAGCTTTTCACTGTTCTTCTCAACTTTAAAAGCTCAAATAACATGTGCTGAGTTGTTTGTATATGTGTGTAAAGAGAACGTCGTCCTCCACTGACACGGAGAGGACAGCGAAGCGAGGGAAGTGAGGTCTCTCTCCATCATTATCTTCGTAACATCTGCTACAGTTTGAGACAGAGGTTGCTAAGCCTTTGTAGTTGAGGAAAGAGTGACCTCAAAAATCCAACATGGTCTTATATAGCAATAGAAAACCTCTTAGATAATGGAACATTCCCTGTGTCTCTGCTGTTATGCTCGAATTCCATGGAAGAAGACAAGTAGTTCAATAAGCGTGTCTCTCTTACTACAGGTCATGTGCATCTTGGAAGCCTTCGGACATGCCAAGACGACTCTTAATGATCTGTCCAGTTGCTTCATAAAGTATTTTGAACTCCAATTCTGTGAGAGGAAAAAACACTTAACTGGAGGTAAGTTTAAAATCAACAAAGGGAGATCTCATGAGCTTCCAGAAGAGGGCAGAGAATCACCAAGTGTGGCAGCAATGGGCAATGCTGTGTGTGCCTGTGTGTGTGTATGTGTGCACGTGCGAGTGTGTGTGCGTGCATCTGAGATGTTAGATTATGAGTTCTAAAAGTGTTGTGAATTGAAAAATATTTTGAAATGAAGGTGAACCTTTTCAAGATGATTATTGTATAAACTATATAATATGCAAGCAAACCAAAAATAGTTGAAATGAATCATACTTGCTGAACATAGAAGTGAACTTAAATACTCAGTTAAAATAAATTATAATGAGTATATAATTTCTTCATACAACACACATTGAAATCTATCTCAAATAAAGCTGAATCTATAGTTTAGAGTGATTGAATTAAAACAAATCAAAACATCAGAATGATCACTGAACTAAACCCAAACAGAGCTGTTTCTTATTTTTTTAAATACTTAATGTGTGCTTTATGAAAACGTCTTATTTAAAATTTAACTAATTTAAAATTCACTTAAGATTTTACATCTTTCAATCAAAACAGATTATCCATGCAAACTAACAATGTAAATACAATTGTTGGTGTCCCTCCTAATCTTCTTGGAAGGATCAAATATTTTAAAAACTTTTATAACAACTGTCAGCACACAGTTGTTAGTTCCAGTGATTTTTGAAAGAGATCGATTTTATTTGGCATTTTCAAGTTACCCTATCTTTCCTTCAGGAAACAAAAGTTAGTTTTGACCATAATTTAGAAACCAAAACCCTGTCTTTTGCAGTAAGTGTATGCCAAAATTCTATTACTACTAAGTGAAATTTGGTTAAAAGATATATGAATAAAAGGAGTAGCAAGAGATAATTTCAGATGTTGAAGTTAGAGGCTGAGATTCCGCAATAGGAAAGTTATTGTTTTGATTCCAAGGCTAAGAGCCCCATTGGAAGGTCTACGTTTTAGGAAGACCTCAGGGGAGAATGTCTCGAGGCATCAACTCTGGTCTTCACGTCTTAGTGTTATAACACCCCAGCGACAGTGTCTCGCCAAGCCAAGGGCACAGTCTGCTCCCTTCAATTAAGAGCGTCACTCCCCTGGGCTTTCAGGGACCTGCGGCTGGAGCCGGAGAAGCTGGGCGGTAGGGGCTTCCCAAAGCTGCGTGTCCCAGCCCCTTGTCGCTCCAATGTCTGACCCGAACATGAGCCTATGGGCATAATTTGCGAGCTTGTTAGAAATGCGGAATCTTAGGCCCCCCTGCACACCTGCGGAGTGGGACTCTAACGGGATTCCCAGATGATTCACACAAATACTGAAGTTCAAGAGGCGCTATTCCAGCGCCACCCGGAGCAGCGGCTGGCCACCCGGGATTGCGCGCAGTTGGCGCGGAGGGGAAACCTCTTGTCTGCGTTATCACTCGCGCAACTTCTCCCCTCCGTTCAATATTCCCTTTACCAAGATGAAGATCCAGTAACTGAAGGTCTTATCCGTTACTGATTTTGTCTACTTTTTTTCTGGGTAGAATTTAACATGTCCTCTTCAGGAATGTTAGTTCAGCCAAGCATTACATGCATGTGTAGAAAAGAACTGGGAAGCGCTGTGGTGAACACTTACTGATGGAGCCTTCCGTTAATCAGCGGTCTATTAGCACGCGGTCCCACGCAGCGTCAGCACAATCAAACCCTCAGACACCTCTCACGCGGCGTCTGCAGGCAGCACCCTGGGCCCGGCGATAATACATATTCATAGAGGTGATCCTGACGCACCTCAGAGCCTGAAATGCTCTCCGAATCGTTAAGGAGCTATGAGCACAACTTGAGTACATGTTGAGCGTAACTGGGTTTATTCTCCTCTTAGGAAAACAGCAGTCCAGGCTTCCATGCAGGTGGTCTCTACCTTCCTCCACTTTCCATATCGTTTTTCCCTGCGTTCTGTCCTCCTGATGAACGCCCTTAACCCAGTGCCTATAGCCTATGTTTGTTTATTTGGTAGCTTCCTGCTGTGCTCTTTTAAAAATCTGGCAAAATGATCTGATGACTGTTTTTATGGTTTTTTTTTTTTAATTAAGAATAAAACAACTGCTAATAAATAAACCAATACAGCCAGTGCTAGTTGAGACTGCGTGAATAAAAGCGTAGAGCCTGGAACATTAGTGGTGGGGGAGTCTGAAGAGGTCAGAGTTCTTTGTTTTCTGTATTTAAGAAGAAAAATAAAAGGAATGTGTTGGGAGAATGTTTATGAGGAGAATGAAAGCTCAAGTGCCATGTCTTCAGAGTGGGCGCTGAAGAATGAAAACGTTTATCCTGAAAAAGAACAGACACAAGGGAAATAGGACAAGTGCCTTCAAAATTCACTACCACGTGTGAAGAAAGGGTCCTGAGGACGAAGATTTGTGACGTGTACCGTGAAGAGTTGGTAGATGTTCCGGAGAAGGCGTATCTTCACTTAGTTACAAGAACTTTCCACTTTACTTCATGATTGCAACGTGCTTTCTCACCCCACCACTGGATGTGTTCAAGCAGGATGAAAGAGCAGACACCTAACAGCCCTAAAAATAGTGTGACCCGAGGTAGGACCCTGGGACTAGCTCATCCTAAAGATGTTGCGGATGCTCCCCATTCTCCAAGTCCAAATATAAGCATTCTCTTAACCGTTGATCAGATGCTCTGATGACTACAGAGTGACTTGATAGCATGTATTGTCCTCTGGTGCCTGTCAGCGTGGAATAAACAGAGTTGACATGAGAATGCCATAGAGTGTGCTAGTGTCCAAGAGCTGCTGTGACAATACACCCCAAACTCGCTGACTTAAAACAACAGAGATGTCTTCTCTCACCGTTCTGGAGGCCAGAAGTCCGGAATCAAGGTGGCGGCAGGGTTGTGCTCTCCCGGGTCTCTCCAGGGAAGAATCCTTCCAGTCTCTTCCAGCCTCTGAAGGCTGCTGCCACGCCTAGTGTTCCTTGGCTCCTAGAGGCATCACTCTAGTCTCTGCCTCCTTGTCCCAGGCCTTCTGTGTCTCTCTCCTCCTCTTCTAAAGACACCAGTCATATCAGATTAAGACCCACATTACTCCAGTATGATTTCATCTTTTTAAAAAAAGCTTATTCCATGTTTTATTGGACACTTACATGTTCATACTGTTGTGTTGAGTGTTAGCTCTAAAGTAAATCAGATTGGGTCCTCCCCTAAAAGGCTTGCAGAATAGTCAAAGAGCTAAGTCTTGTCTGTCTGTCCATCTTCCCCACCAGAGTGTAAATTTGTGCTCATTGCTGTATCCCCAGGGTCTAGCACAAGGTCTGGCCGAGTCAAGTATTTGGTAAATCCTGAGTGAATAAATGGATATAGGGCCGATTGAGCAAACAGAGGTAACGCTAATGTCGGGAAGGAGTCGTGAGGGCCGTAAAGGGATAGTGGATTGAAAGCTCTGGGTGTTTACTGGTCTTTGTTAGATTCCAAAGAGCCTGTGAAGCTGATGTCATCACACTGAAGTCAAACCCCAGAAGCCTTGAGGCTCAAACGCCGGGTCCTAACACTGTACCTATTTCTGTGCCTTTGATCAAATCACATAGACTCTCTAAGTTCTATCTATAAAATGGAAAGGTTAGACCACGAGACCAGCCAGGAAATGTAAATGAATGAAGTAGAATAAGTGCAAGATAACGGGGCAGGTAGGGGCTGTGCCGATCTGGAAGACACACGACCTGTGGGCTGACCTCATCCCCTGAGGAAGGTCACCATCACAGGTGCTGGAGGAGGACTGAGGCATGTCTTTTTGTGGGACACAATTCAACCCACACAGAGAATACGGCGAGAACGACTGTGTGAGTCTTTACTTTTCAAGTTATTTTCAGTTTAAGAGCAAGTGTCGTTGTCACTCCCCAAAACACACCTGGAATACTTTAAGAAGCTACAAGTCAGTTTGACACTTCTGAGTAATTTCATCTGTTACTGAAACTTCTTCTCTGAAAGAAAAATAAGAGGTACAGATTTAAAGTATTTTACTCAATTTTTAAGGAGAGCTGAGTCACTCCAATCGGTCCCCTGTAAAAGCTTTCTGAATTGTAAGTGTTCACTACAGTAGTTAATCCAAGTGGAGTAAGGTGAGTACACCTCAAACGAGGTCAGAAAAATGTAGCTTATGGGTTCATTTTATGCTTTATTGTAGTCTAGGTTTAAGAGGTTAAAGTATAAATATGAGGAAGACTTTGCCAGTGAAGATTTCTTTTCACTCATCCAGAGCCTTTCATTTGAGACTTGAGGTATTTTCAGGTGTCGTTGTCTGAATCCCTAATGACTTATATTTTTCATCTAAGAGTACAAAGAGCTTTACCTGGGATGATGTACAACTGCGCTTACTTAATGGCAGAGACTACAATAGATGGCATGTTCTCAGTTCATTCTCTTATGATCAGGATCATCTTTGGTCTTTTAAGGGAACAAAAATATAAGGTTGTCATTCACTTTAGTGTATATGAAAATTTTTATGCTATGCAAAATGGTCTTGCAGAATATGCATGGATAAAGTAGACTAATATAGTATATTCCTTCATTCTTTTCACCAGCTAATCATTTTATTGTTCATAAATCTTTAAAAATATGTGTACAGATTTTCTTAGTTGGCTCTTTATTATTTGAATTTCTTCACAAGTCACCCACTTCTTGTGAACTACAACAAGACACAAAGGCTTCTTCATGCAAGGCAGCCTGGCATGGTGGAAAAGGGGCATCTGCATTGAATTTCAGCTTCGCCACTGGCTTATAAGACCCTGTGAATGTCACCTCTTTCCCCAGCTATAAAATTAAGAGACCCGACTTCATGCTCTCCTGTGTTCCTTTCAGTGTTGTTTCATTTAATTGGAGATTAACTACTTTGACAGTTTCTCAGTCTTAGAACAGAGCCATAAATGGTCCACCACAGCTGCCTTACACTGTGAAAAGGATGAAGACAGTGCTGAGAAGGTGATCCTGAGTCTTGGCCTAAAGTGCACTGTC